TTTTTTTTTTTTTTTTTTTTTTTTTTTTTTTTTTTTTTTTTTTTTTTTTTTTTTTTTACATTGATTGTTATCGGATTTAGAAGTAGAGGTGTACTCGTATAAATGACATATTATATTGCTGCTGATCGTTGGTGGTGGTTATAATACATAGAGTAGTTTGTCACGTGCGGGAGAAAGACGAATGACTATACTCATGTTGCGGTCATGACAATTTTTTTTCAACAGAACTAATGTAGGTATCGATCGAGTGTTACAGGGACATGAGATTAGTTGATTGCTATACGATGATGAGTACGGGTTACTGTTTGTTTGTTGACCATCAATTATTATGTTCGACGAGAATAAATTTTTTTTTAATTCCAAGTTATTGTAATTACGCAAAATGTCGCATGTGTAAAAGCAATGCTTTGTAATGGTGAGCTGTAAGCCGACATTTCATTGTCTACTTTAATCGATGATAAAATGGATAATAAAAGGTACACGATTAAAAAACAAATACAAAATTATTGTTTTATTCATCACATAAGTTTAGCTTTGATGAAAAAAAGAAAAAAAAATTATTCATCTCTCATGTGTAAATATTGTAGTAAACTGTTTGATTTTCCCCATCTGAATTTTAACCATAAAAAGACTGGTAGATCTTTCACCAATTGATTTTTCTCTCTACTTTAAAATTCGATAAAGAGGTAAAATAAAATGAACGAGCTATTTAATCGAAATCTATTTTTTTTTGTTATTCAACACGAAAATCTTGACAACACACGGTTGAGTTTTACTGTGATCATTAGGGATTGACATTTTTTTTTGCTGTTTTTCACATGCATGAAAAATACATCGGCAAAACAATTTTGGCAATATGAGCAATTTGTGAATCATTATTAAAATAAATCGAAAAATATTCTCGAAACTGTGGAAAAGTATGAAAAGGGAGAGTAATCTCAAGGTTACATTACCACTGCAAATCGTTTTAACAGAATCTTACATATAATACGGCTCGTGAAAAATAAGTATAAAAAAAGCTTATTCAAAGAATTAGTTATAAATCAACGCTTATTATGAGGCTCGTACTTATGCTTCCTTCAAATTGCATATATATTTTTATACGTCGTTTTAACGTGTAATAAGTGGGAATCGTTCCTTTTCTCAATAAATATCGACATATTATACGCGAAGTTTGAAGACTGCCGAAGTTTCACTTGTTAATGGAACAATTCATCAAGATTTTACTTTTGTAGCATAATTTAAATTATGTGGGCGAAATTTTTTTTTTTCAACCAATTTTCCCATGATTTTAATCTTAATAAGCACGATATTGCTATTGATTTAAAAAATAGTACCGTGGAAATCGGGCAATATTTTATTTTATTTTTAATTTAAATTAGACAATCTTATTTGCGCAAAAAATTATAGTTTAAAAGTGCTTTTCTACCTCAACATATACAAATAAAACACGAATTTTTTGTTTATACTTAATTAATATAAATTCGTGTATTGTTTATAAAAATAAGATAATTTATACACCGTTTTAAATTTTTTAACACAATCAATTGATTTATTTTTCACCTACATTTCACACTAATTTAAAATTTAATTTTTTTTTTTATTAAATGAACTAGAATTTTTTTCTAGTGTAGATTTCAACAATAATCAAAAATTGCAATAATGTATTGTGTATGAACCAATCGTGTAAAAACATCCTGATACCTATACCACCTTACCATTTATTGAAATAAAATGGTTTTTAAAGTCCTATTGTATGTCTTCATGCGTCAAACATTGAGTTTTTCAATCTTTTAGGAAGTACAATGAAGTACGAGTGTTTTGGAAAGCTTGACCAAATATTTGAACAATTTTAAAGAATGCTGTTAATTTATTACGTTGAATTAAAATAGAAATAAAAAGTGTAACAGCCCCAGTTAAAAAAAAACTTTAACAATTTATTTTATTACCACGGTAGTAATTAAAGCTGTGACCCAGATTTTATTGAGTTTACCGCAATGCATAAGGGAAAAAAATTTTTTTTTAACTCAACTTTAACACATGTTGATGAATTTCACAATAGTGAAATTAAAAACTGTCCTACATAAATAATGACGGCAGCGGAAAAAATAGAACCGCGTTTACTGCGAATGGATTGTTACATAGGCCAGAATAGAGAGTTCGTCACATAACGGTTTTTGTTTTCCAACTACAATGCTATGTTTTTAAATATGTATTTAAGGAGATGATGAAAACCTTTTAAATGTATGTACTCATTAAATAGCACTTTCATTCCAAATTGAATTTCTCTTAATTTGAAAGCTTTCAATAGCGTTTTTGTAATATCGATTAGAACAAAGAATTTTTTTGTTCATTAACTGCATAGTCTCAAATAAGTATATAAATATTAAATGTGTACACAAGTTGATTAAAATTTACAGTAATATGAAAATTAATATGAATCATTGATTACGGAAAGTTATGAAATAATGGAGTAAAAATTGGTATAATGAATACTTATTTAAAATTGTTCAAGTTCTATTGTTCCATTACAGTTTCATGAGTATTATTGTTTGAACATGGAAATTTTGTAGGATATTATTTACTTAAAAACTCAAACATATTATGATCAAAACATTCAAATCGATGCATTGAAGAGTTCGAAAAAAATTTTTTTGAATCGACTGTTTTTACTTAAAAGTATAACTTTATAAAATATGTATTTAAATGGCGTATAAGTATGCCTCGAAAGCCCTCATTAGAATATGAATCTTTTCTATGCTTATTTTAACTGCATCCTGAAATAAAATCCTTAAAAAAAAAGATATTGTCTTTATTGCTGGTCATCTAGGATATTTTTATGTTCTATGAATATTTCATTTTTTCATGGCGTTAAAATTAAGTTATAAAATACAAAAAATGTTCATACATAAACAAGATTAATTTTGTAAAATAAAACTAAGTAGTAGGGTATTGATTCAAGGCAATATAACGAAAACCAGGAAAAAAAAAAACAAACTGAAATACTACTGTTGAGTAAATAATTGTACAGTGATACTCGACAATGATTTGTAGAGTAACAGGACTGTGTCTTTTTAAAATAACTGCTCTTTATGTTTGTATCAAACAGAGGGGATGTTAATATTTTTCTTAGATAAGTGACGCGAAAAAACGAAACGAAAGTGAAGGCTAGGCATGCAACAACATTGTTCTGTGTGACAAAACAGTAAGTACCTTTAATATGGCATTTTTATGTGCCATGTACGAAAATCTTTACTGTATTAATTGGTAAATAAAGCTAAAGCCAATTTGAATACCATACAAACAAGTTAATTACTTATTCCTATCCTTACTACGAATTACTTAACGAACTTATTTTTTGATAAGACTCTTATCAAATGTTAATAAATAAGCGGTATACCAATTCATCTTACATTATTTTTTAAGGTAAGTTTTACTATCCCACTGTTAAAAATATTGTGATTTAAATGTTTGTTGTATAAAGTATACTATATAATTATATAATTGCTAGAAAGTAAACTAATGCTAATTCTATAATTTTTTGTATGAATTATGATTAAAATTGTTTAACTTGAGGCCATGTACATGATGAAAGTATACTACTGTTATAATATTCGTAAATAACATGGAAACTGATAATAATAACAAGTTATAAGTAAATAAAATAAATACTTTTAAAGTTCAAGTCATAAGTTCGCTCTTACATCAAATAAGCAATCACAGATTACTTATTTAAAACTATTTAATTTTGAGATTCATTGATATATAAAAATAGGTAAAAAACAAAGACAAAAAGAACTTTGCTCGTTGAATTAAAGTAAGTAATACATCAAGTACACTTACCTTTTCTTGCGTCCTGTTCCATACAATTACTTTGTGTCCACTGTTAAGGAGATTTTTCACGATTCCACTGCCCATGATACCAAGTCCAAGAAATCCAAATTTCAAGTTTGAGGCACGGATGTTTTTGTCTTTCAGTGTTTGGGAAAGAGTTTCCACGTCAAGAGGTGGTGTTTCCTGTAATGATTATAATTGTTAGGTTCTATTTTTTAATTTAATTAAATAGAAAAATTAGAAGAGAAAAAAATTCCAATTTCAGTTTATTGATTGAACGAGTTAGATATGTCCAGCGTAATCATATAAAATTTTGTAGAACTAAGTTTAGTTTTATTAAAATATAACTTACAGGTCTGCTAATATTTGCAGGTCTGTCTAAGAGAGAGCCACCCTTTCTCATTGGTGTCGAATGATTCAAAGTAGGACTTATACTGCTAAGCCTGTTACTACTACTACTTGCGTTTGAATCCGTTCTTTGCTTTTTGGCTGAACGACGATCGCTGCTTCCGGCATTACTTTCTCTTTTCATTTTTGGAGTTTCCTGCAAAGTCACGAATGTTTTTAACTAAAATAAACAAAAAAAAAGAAGCACAGGTTAAATTAATGAAACAAAAAAAATTAGACTACGTAACAAACATTTAACGATTGATGAAAAAAAATTTATGATAAATTATTTTGGGTTCACATGCCATTGGTCTTCCATGCAGTCATGAGGACGATTTAATCAACAAATACCACTGAAAAGTATTGTTTTGCTAAAAAATATAATTTGATATTTAAATACCCCCTTACTTTTTTTGGTTTAATCTTTGGAGTTTTCTTTCCAATAGAAGTATTGGTCTCCTCTTTTAACTTGTCAAATAGGGTATCCGAATCAGGTCCATCTTCAAACACCTTAAAATTATTATTTAAATATGTAAATTAAATTTATTTTAAGGAATTTTTAAGTGATACAACAAATTGTAGACTTACCTCTCCTTTGGTAATAAAATCTTCGATCTCTTGACAAGCTTCTTTAAACTGTGCATTTTTGGACAATTTCGTGCATGTGTCTTTATGCTCATGATAAGATTTGATATTATTTTCATCAATCCAGCCACTACAAAAATTGATTACCATTAATACAATCACCTCAATGAGTGAGTGGTTAATGTCCACCAAAAAATAACTTACAAGTTATTTGTTCCAAAAAAATATATACAATGAATTGGAACCTTCTTATTGAAGCTAGAAGCTGGCCTTTTCATATCTCTCAGTGGTTTGGATATCTTTAATATTACATGTTACTTTAATATGAAGATTCTCCATGTTTTCATTGGATGTAAGTGTAGATTCAAAATATAGTAGATTTATATATAAATGCTAGTAGAATCCCGAAAATTATATTTTTCAACTATTCTTTGGTTTGACAATAAATTGAAAAATTTAACAGATGGAGAACGAGAAAAGCTAAATGTGCAATACGTGTAATAAAAAATAAAAGAAAAAACGAAATTGAAACAACAAAGGGTCAATAAGAAAAGGATAGAACTAGTTAATTAAAATTCGATTCATTCTTCGAAATGTATCGACTTTAAAAATATTTAATTTATGTTATTAACTTATAAGATTTTATATAAATAAAAAATGGCTAGTGTATGGGTTATTCTTGGTCTGTGCATGCAGCTACTTATTCTCATGTCAACTGCAATGCATGCCATCAAAAATGGTTATTGAATGAACATTTCGTTGTATCAATGTCGTTTCTATAGCATCTTATTTAAAAGGATCATGATTCATCGATTTAATCATACAGATTCTTTAAAGCCCTCAGAGCTTTGCAATACTGACACTAGTAGAATATAAAGTAAAAACCCTGAACGATACATAGCTTCTGTGCTCCAAAATGTTGAGACAAGAGGTTATGGACGCGTACCGTCAAAACAAAAACACAAACGGGGTCTGTCTAAGTAAGAAAACATCTCTGTGTCAACTATAACGGTTTTGGCGTGGGTAGCAGTTCTGGAGACAAATATCATGCAGAAGAGAACCCCTACAGTTGCACGTACTCGTCAAAAGTATATATACATCATGATGTACACCCATGGAGATGCAATAGTGAGTACGTGTGTGTGTGTGGGTCGTCCTCAACATAAATGCATACGCCAGCAGAACGTATTAACGTAAAGCACGATAGTTTCCAGTCTCAGAATACGAAAGAGAGGCGGCAAAAGCGCGGGAGATAAAAGCTGCGCGCACTGGTGCGGGGAGGGGCACGGGCGGACGGGACACCCCGTCACACAACTTCACAGAAGATCCGAGATCCGAGAGAGCATATATTGTGTTGTGTACACACAGTACAGTAAGGAGTCGAGAATGTAGGTACTCACCCTGCCAGGCCACGGTGAAAACCCTTTCATCTTCGCCCTGCAACAAACACAATGTTATTTCTTAATTTTTTTTTTTATGTACACATGCAACTAAATAACGAAATGACCCGTAGGCGTCAACGTTATTGTTTTTAGGTTATGTGCGGTGTTTATGTTTTTTTTTTTTTTGATCGTTTGTATACATACAAATGCACGTCCAAATACCAAACACATTCACCCACTGTAACACCAAGGCTAGTAAGCACGAAAATTACGCACCAGACGAGATCGCCGAGCTTGTAGGCGGGATCGGTGGACATACTAGCACGGGATGCCGGCGAGGGACGCGGGCTGTTCCTGGCCGAGGTAGTGGTCACTGGGCTAGCGGCTGCTCGCTGTTTCTTTCCCTGTGGCTTTTCAGCTACCGCAATCCGTGGTTTTTTCACGGGTACCTCTACCTCCTCCTCCTCCTCCTCTTCTGCTTCCTCCTCCTCCTCTTCCTCCTCCTCCTCTTCTTCTTCTTCTTCCGATTGCACTGGCTTAACTTTTTTTTCTTTCGGCTGTTGTTTTTGCTGTTCTTCTTCGTCCTCTTCCTCTACCTCCTCTTGTTGTTTTTCCTTCAGCTGTTGTTGTTGCTCTGGTAATGGTTCTGGTGGCGGCTGTTGCTCGGCGGGAGCTTCAGAATTCGAGGCACTCGTTGGCTCCGTCTCGGTCGGCGAGCGACAAGCGACTGAACTGGCAGCGGCTGCCTCGGGCATCCTCGCTTATTTTAGTTTACCTAATGTTGTACACGTACCACTCTACCAAAACCTCCCGCGTGATAAAGAGAGATGTCTGCATGCGCGTCGGCTACGTTGTGTAGCTCTCGTCTGCGCTTATGCCTTTATGGAGACTGCGCTGGTCGGCCTCACGACGCCTTCCTGGAGTTCAGTCCTCCTCCTCCTCTTCTTTTGGTCCTAATATACTAGGTTAGTCGAGTTGCAACTTGGAGGAGGTTAAGGCGACTCACGCAATGGACAACAACGATGATGATATTTTTTTTCCTCCCTTTCCTATCTCTCTTGACCAAATGCCGGATTCGATGTCTCCGTGATGATTACCACGACGACGACGATGATACTGCGATAAGCAGTCGGTTTGACAGGTTATCGGCGTCTTGCTGATTAGTCTTGAACCAAATACGCTACGTCCGACGCGTCGGGATACTCTTGCCCGCTACCCACTAGTCTTATGGTCGGTTTTACATCAGCACATTTGTTTACGTCTCTCCGGGAACTTCCTTACAGAACACTCACGAAATCGAGTTCGGCTTTGCACAAGCTTCGCCCACTGATGGATTCAATCACTCGGAAAAACAACGCCGAGTCCGTTAGAGCCTCGATTTATCGGCCAATGGTCGATTAACCAACAAATTTTTACTAATAAAACACTTGATCGGCACTACTATCACACGTGACTTTTAACACACAACTGCATGCAAACACGACTGGACTCGCATTGTATACGGTTACGGTTATATAGTCGACAAGTCGACGTAAGCACACCGTGAAGAGAGCCCTATTGTGGAACAAGCCTAAGCTCGTTTTACAGATTTTTTTTCATGGTTATTCTGTTGTCCAACATTATTTACGATCCTATTTATCGTCGAATTGGATTTTTTACGACTTATAATGTTACTCTTGGTTAAATTTTGTTAATTTTTTGCAATTGGTTTCAAATTGTTCAAGTGATGTTTCCGGTTCCAATGGGTCGACCGTCCAAGATGGCCAACCTCGAGCCAATCGGAGAGAAAGTTGTGGATTGCTGTGGTTTTCATTAATTTCATTGGCCAGCAAGACCCACGTTTCCGTTGACCTACAGGAAGTTCGATTTTAAACTTGATAATTTGAACTGCCAAGTTTAGGAGAGAAGAAATTAGTTTGATTCTTTGTTTTTTGTTTTTTTTTTGAGATAAATGCTGCAGTATTTTGGTTAATCTGTATGATTTTGAAAGATTACACTACGAAACGACTAACAATTTATAGAGACAAAACATATGTGTAAAATCACTTCATCGTTACCAGTTTTTCTTTTCTACCGATAAACACAGTATACTTTTATTTTTTACTAAACAAATGCAATTGTTCGTATACACAAATTTATGTTCTCATCAAATGCAAAGAAAATAAAAAAAAAAAAATATTTTTAGGCTACTCTGTTCAATACTCGAATACTAAAATATTTTTAACTGAACGGCACAGATTTTCTTGACGATCTGAAAGTAAAAACATTGTTAAAACATTTGACGACGTCGTAAACAAACAATAAAGAATTAGTGAACGTTAGTCATACAATCAGGAAGACAATGATGTATACTTACATTGATGTTTTATGCGAATAAAAAGATCGATACAACTTAAGGAAAAAAAATAAACCAAACAATACACTTGAAAGCATATGTTGTTAAGTAGGTATACTTACAACAACAACTCGATACGATCCGCCCACGCAAGAATGCCAGAGAGGTCAAAGAGACAGGCTGCGTATAGTTTTTCCAGTTCTCCACTTTATCCGCGAAGTACAACCTTACCGCTCGCATCGAATTGACGTTTGACAATTAAAATACAATGCGTGTGCAGTTGACTGTATGTACCCACATACAGTAAAAACTTCAACTTATCGATAAATTTTATCATTATTACTTATATTTTGCTTTGTCTGTTCTTCCTCTTCTCCAGTTTTGTGTGTTAAAAATAAGCCAAACACACGATATCAGGCTCTGCCAGTGTTGTATAAATATAATAAAAATACTTACTTCAGTGTATGTGTAAAAGTGCGTGTGTATACAAAATACAAGAGAGAGTGGATCAGTGGATGAGCAAGTTTATAGTCTATACCCTGAAACTTGGGGGTCAACTACTCGACTCCTCGACGACAATTTTTACCCGAGGACGACGCGACGACTCTCTCGTTGTGTGTGTATGTACACAGCAAGAACGGGCGCGTGTGTGTATAAAGGACACTGGGGTATAACATAATAAACCTGTCAAAGGGGCCCCTGCCCAACGCGACGAAAAGGATCCTCGTCGTCGATTCCTGGTGCTGAACGACACATCTAATATGGTTCGTACATATTAAGTATTTATTACCTCTGCTTTTTCACCGTTTCTTGTAAGCTTTCTCCACACTTCTTCGTGGAACTTTACTCTTGGCCCGGAGTTGTTGGTGGCTACCTTATATGCCTAATAAGTACTTATACTTGGGAAGGTAGGAACGAAAAAGGTCGAGGATTTGTTTCGGGCTCATAGCTGGATGCGAGTCATGAGACATGATGCTGTGGGTGCGTCGGGTTAGGCATTTTTTAGATTCGTCTTTTTTGTTATGATACTTCATTTGATGCATTATTATCGTTACCCACAAGTGTTGTTACAGTACGAGTAAGGATTTTCTATTTTGAATATTTAATCATTGAAGTGGAATTAAAGTGCAGGCAATTTTGTGTTGTTTTGATTTGTGTATACGTTTGTGATGGAAGTGAATACTCGGTGTATGCAATTATGTATTTGAATTTTGAAGGGAACTATGGTCAACAATGCGATGATATATACTATGGTGAACAAATTAATATGTGTATTATTTTTTAGCTTAGGTTTGGCTAATAGGCTAATTTATTCTTAATTGGAGCTGTACACTGGGAGTGCCACTTTAGTTACTTTGTAAAGCTGCTCAAACGCTTTAGAACTGTTATTTTGTTACTCAATGTTATTCAACTGCTAGAGCTGAGTTTTTATAAATTTTGGATTAAATTTTTCTTCAGATCCACTTTGATTATGGTTTTCAATGGATACTTTGTTGTTGTATTGTTAAGTTTTTGATTAACAATATAGAATAGAGTGGTGTTATGATAATCAGTTCAAGTTACAGACTGTTAATTGCTAAGAAAAAGTAGAATCGTCTCGTCACGATAAATTAAAGTACAAGTATAAAAGTAGAACAATAAAAACAAACATTAGTAGAATTTTCAATTCTTTATGAAGTATGTTAATAGACATTAAATTTATTATGATCAGTCGGAACAATCACAAATGGAAGGAGCAGCGGCTGCAGCACCCGCGGTAGTTGGGATAAATCTTCAAAATCATTCCCCAGATCTCCAAGTGAATCAGATTAATAATCAGAATTCAACTCTTAATCAAAATGACAAAAACGAAGAGCAAGTACAAGCAGTAGATCATGCAAGAGTTCAGGTTCCATGCCAACCACAAGCTGCAGCTGTAGTGCAATTGGAACCTGAGGATATTCCACCCCCCAAGCCAGATTTTTCTGCTCCACCACCTTATGAGGTTGTCACAAAATTACCTAGTTACGAAGAGGTTCAAAGGGAGAAGACCCTTCATGGTGAACCCATGCCACAGACTCATCCCGAAATAAATGTAGATTGTTTAGTAAGTCTTTGAGTATGTTTATAATTCGATAACAATTAATTAAGTACTAATTAAGAATTTATTAATTACATTGAAGCCTGGGGATTTAAGGACACCACATCAGCCTTTGACTATTTTGGCAATAGATTCTGATGGTGCTGAGGGTGATTTGGAAAGTCGAATGCTGGGTACAGATTTTATGTTTATTACGGCCTTTTTAGGTGAGGAATTATTGAATTATACTATTGTGCAAAATTTTTCATCCACACGAGTGGTTTTTTTTTTTAAATCATTTCCCTTTTTTTTTTAGTTGCATTCCTATTTAACTGGATTGGTTTTTTGCTGTTGATGTGCTTCTGTCACACAATAGCATCGCGATACGGAGCACTGTCTGGATTTGGATTATCCTTAACGAAATGGACAATAATTGTTAAACAGTCAACTGATTTGGCCTCCCGTGAAAATGCGTGGCTGTGGTGGTTGATAATGCTCATTGGTAATTGTTTGATTAGTTTTTGAAACTCGTCAATAAAATTTTTATTTTACTCTTAATTAATTTCAGGTATACTGATCTGCCTTCGTGCTATTATTCAGTATTTGAATATCAAACGGGGATGGCGTCTATTATCGGGCAGTGCTCAAGAACGCCTACTTTTTTATTATTGAGCTTTTAATTACAAATTTCAAAGTGATTCATTCAGGGTGAGAGAGCAAAACTTTTTTTAACTACAATTTATAGAGGAATGAAATTATATTATGCAAGGTATACGGGTTTTGATATACTTTTTGTGATTTGAAGGTTTTAAAAAAGTTTTTGTGATTTCCAGTGCTTTAACAAAAAAAAGTCGCACATATGTATGAAAATTTAATGTGGTCTACACATCATGTGAAAAGTTTTGGTACATTTGAGAATTGTTTTATTAGATTTGTTCAAGCCCCTTTTGGTTCGGTTCGGTTCTCTTAACAAAATATACCTATACATAGGGAACCAAACAGAACTGGTTTTGTATATATAGGTATATTTTGTTAAGAGAACCGAACCGAACCAAAAGGGACTTGAACAAACCTTTACTTATACACCATTGTCTCTACATTCTTCTTGTTATAAAAACAATGTCAATCAAATGTGTAAAGAAAGAGCTAATAATTACAATTGTATAAATTAAGTATCTTTGATAGTTCACATTGTAGGTTTTAAACATTTCAAGAAGTGAACTATCAAACCAGAGTACATTTTAATTTTTGTTACGGAATGAAAAGCTGTTTAGCAGCATCCTAACAATTACACAATTCAATGTGCAAAAAATGTTGATGATAAAAATAATCTAGATTATAAGTATGGGGCTTAAATATACTTGATCAAAAGTGTGCAAGTATAAATCGTAATGTTATTAAAAAAATCATATTGATAAGTAATCTTTTGTAAGACGGCAGTTTTGTCGGATTGCTTAATAATGAGTTGTAATTATGATTTACAATGAATGAAAAATTCGAAAGTTTGTAAAATGATATATGTACACTTTTATTTTGCTAAATCGAATTTAATATATTTTAAACTATTTTTTTATCATAGAATATATATACATATATATATATCCTATACGTATTTTCTATTATACCCATTCATGTTGCAAGCGTTGATAAAATGTTAACACTGCTTTTTTAGTGCACTCTTATTTATTCTAAGGTATTAATTAAATTTAAGTATCTCTTGTAATTTATAAGTATTGATTTTACAATTTTCTTGTCTCAGACTGTAAGTTAAAAGTATTTTATGTAAATAAAATTATAAGATATTTAGTATTTCTGTATATTGCAGTTTTTTTTGAGCCCTTTGGCCACTAAAAAAAGCACGCACGACTATTAATAATATTTCTACTCATTTCTAAATTATTCATAAAAAATTGCGTGTCTTCAATGGCGTGAATAATATTTTTTTTAAAAACTTACATTTGACCAATACTTTCGATAAGATTTCACCGCGTAATCAAGTAGCATAGTTTTTGATTCCTCCTTCAACCGTCGAATTTTCGTTGTTCTCAAATGAAAAAACGCAATTCAACCGATTTTGTTTAATTCCACGAAAAAAAAAAAAAAAAAAAAAAAATCCACACTCGTACGATGGTTGCACAAAACCGACTCACCCAACATCTCGAAAAAAAATTTCCAAAAAATCGCCCAATAACAGAATCAGTTTTAGGTCTGCAGCAGAACAGCGACACCAGCCAGGGTCCACTTGGTCGATTTGTCACGCGTCTTCAAATTGAACGTCCAAACGTAAGTAGGACCACGCGACCTGGTCCTGTACACCGGGCACTCGTACACCCCCTTGAAGTCCTGTTTGTCCTGAGTGATGGCTCGTATGAACACCACCGGTAGTTGGGGAAACAGCTCCTTGGGCAGCGAGTCGGCGATCGAGCCCGTCGCCGTGTCCCAACGCGCGCCCTCCATGAACAGGCCGCTTATGTAGGCACCCTCGCGAGGCGGTGCACTTGAAGAGGACAACACACATGAAACATTTTAATCCGGAAATTTTTTTCTCAATCGCACGCGTCGTGTGTAACGTCACTATACGCTCACTTGAACTCGTTTTTCTGTTTCTTGGTGACGTCGCAGTAGAGGCACATCTTGTCGAGAGGCCACTCGTTTCTGCGAGCAGTTTGCTGCATGATGGCAGTGAGGAACGACTGGGGGTTGAAAAACCCGCCCAGCCAAATAGTCGCTGGGAGCTGTTTTTGGAAGAAAATCGGTGCTTCACGTATCGTGGATATGTATATGTTTATGTTTTGTATGAAATTACGCTAAAATCAGACGTCCAGGCTTGGAGATCGTTATATCGGTTGAGAAGATCGGTAAACCAGTTGGTGAGCCCGAGACTCGACGGATAAGCTCTCTTTGTCCACGTTGGCGGTACCACGTCCATGTACAGGTAATTTTGCAAATCCTCCATATCGGCGTTGATCGTCAGCTCTCCCTAAAACGCGTACCATTGACGATGATGGCAAAAATACATTTTATTTTCCCCCCAGTGCACGCGTATGTACATACCTTCAAGCCGAGCTCAAGTTCTACGAGCGACCTTCTCATTTCGTTGCACAGTATGTTCATTCTCTCGCACTCTTGGAAGGCAACGATAGTATAGGGTGTTCGATCCTCGACCTGAAGCACACATATGCTCATTATGAATCATAATTACGAGGAAAAAAAAAAAAAAAAAAAAAAAAAACAGCTTGTTTTTACGCGATCGGAGAAAGAAGACGTGATTATCGATCGACGCGCCGTTGACGTTTTTTTTTTTTTTTTTTTTTTTTTTTTTTNAATACAGTTTGATGTGCAAGAGTAAAAAAAAAAAAAAAAAAAAAAAAAAAAAAAATCCCCAAATACCTTGGCCATCAACTCGTAGATGCTAAACTGCTCGGGCATTTTGTCGAGCAAGTCGTCGATAATGGCCTTTACTTTGTCCTCCCGCGACAGCCCGACCCCCGCGGCTTCGCCCACGTCTCTAGGCTGCATTTCCAAAACGGTGCGGAAAAGATTCTCCGCCGTCACCGTCAGAAAACCTGAGCAAAGTAAATAAAAAACGGTAATAAACGTTTGTTCGATCGGTTCAAGTTTTGATTTGGCATGGAAAACCGTGTACCGATCTCGGCGTTGGAGTGCAGTCCATAGAGAATCGGGCTCTCGGCCGGTAGGTAATCGTCGACGTATTCGTGATAAGTGACGTAGTCAGAGCTGGTGGGAGCCAGAAAGCCGGGAGCGAATTCCAGGTCGCCGTCGACGAGCTCCGGCTTGACGTACTCGAGCAGGTAAGTCTGGCAGAGGCGTCGGTCCCAGTCGTCCGTTATGTGTCCCCCGTACATGATTTCGCCGAATAGGTAGCGCAAGTCCTCCCACGGCACCTTGTTGTTGTTCTCCAGGTAGTTGAGCAGCACGAAGACGCTGATCGTCAGATCGCCAAAGTTGAACGGGTACACCTGCCGGCGATCGGTTGGTCGACTGTTTACAACGCCGCGATGGAAAATCGGTGAATTTCTCTTACCCTGTTCCAACCTTGAGGGCCGAATCTTCGTCGTTCGGCCACGACCGCGTGGTAGTAGCAAAGAGCAAAAAGAATCGCCTTGAACTCCGTCTCCTTGGTACACGACTCGAGGGTTTCTTGGGTAAAGTTGTCCAGTGCCTTGTGAATGTTCGATTGCATTCCCGTCGGTGGCTCGTTCGTTATTTTTATGGCAGATTCCAAAATACCCTGTTTCACGAAGAGGGAGAAAAAAAAGGGCGTCTTACTTCAAGCAAAAAATCATTGCAATCCATATACCTGTGGGATGATGGATTCGTGCGGATCGCCGCTCGCCTCGGCACTCATGAACAGCCGATAGTCGTCGTGCGGGCTATCGGCCAGCTGTTCTTGCTTCTTTTCGAGGCTCGACAGCCAGTTCTTTACGAGATGGATGTTTTGCAAAATGACCCAGTGGCCCTCGGCCGCGGCCAAATCCATCGCGTCCTCGGCACTGTGTAGAGTTCAATCAAATTTAACGAATCCTCGAAATAAAGAAATTTAACAGTTTTTTTTTATTCGTGGTAACATACACAGGTTCCTGACCCTGGCCCAGAGACACGTTGTGGAACTTGTTGGCTTCGGAGGTGAAGCCCATCTGTTTGCCCAATTTTTCGACGTCCTGTCATCAAAAAATTGTCAAATTTACAGTGTACAAATATTATGTATTACAAATGTCGACAAAATGATCTTTCGTAAATGCGCAGAGGTAAAAGGATGCGTCTTTACTTTGAGAGGATCGACACCAGGAGACAAGATAAAGAACACCGGTGTGATCGAGCTGGTTTCTTCAAACGACTTGTGGAAAGGCGGTGAACGTGACTCGATGAACTTGGCGCCCAACTTTTCCTCCACGAAACACCTGCCCGGGACAAGTTACACGTATACACACATGAGTAGGTGTACTTGAATAACAAAATTACCAATTACCTAACGGCGTAAGTCATGCGATCCAGTCTCAAGCAGCGCATCATGCACAAGCGCTGGAAGGCGCTTTTATTTTTCCACTCCTGAGGGAACTTTTCCCTCTCGGGTTTCTCCGAGTCGGCAAACTTTCTCCAGCGCTTGGTCGCGCCCTCGATGTCTTGGTCGAGGTTCGCGAAGACCGGATTTTCGCTCAATAGTTTTATGCCGGCCCAGCTGGAGTTGCTCAAAAATTCGATCGGACTGAGGATCAGCGGATCGACCGGGTAGCGCAGAAGAAAGTCGACCTCGGAGCGCTGGATTTCTTTCGTTTGCAGAAGGATCTGCGAGTCAATTTTACACACAAAAGTTAAAAAGTGTTGGCAAATATTAATTTTTCGGGGGGTGACATTCGAGAATGACCTGAATCGCCATCTGGCACAAGAACGTCAACTTGTCGGCCTCGAAAAGTCCTCGACTCGTGTAAACGAAGACCAAGTAGGTGATACTGTCGGTCAGGTTGACCACGCGATGGCTGATCTCGTCGGCCTTGACGGCGAACCTGCATCATTCGGATTAATTTTCTCTCAACTCGACAATTCTCATCCCCCCCCCACTGCTGTTCTACAAACCTTATGGCGTTTTGAAACACAACGCTGAACGCCTTCAGCGAGAATTGGTATAGCATGTTGATCTTGCAGAGATCGTTGAGGATAAAGTACAGGAGACTGGCCCTCGAGGCTGCCGGGCGATACCACTCGCGCGCCTCGTCGATCTGCACAGCCGTGACCTTGGCTTCTTCGACCCTGATTTCGATTTCGGCCGCTGTGCGTTTCGTCGTTTCGAGATTTTCGACGAGCGCCACGTCGCTCAGTACGTTTGGACCGGCTGAGGATAGCCTACGGAGCACATAACCGGTTGTGAATCGGCATATTAAATGAAATTACGTGACAAATGTATGCGCAATACCTGTGCAGTAGATCGTCCTCCAAGGTTTTCAGGGTTATCTTGAAGGTGTTTTGTTGCTTGGTGAGCTGGGACTTGGTGGACTCGAGGTCGGGTCTCTCGGCCTTGACGACCTCGCCGAGCAGCTGTTCCTCCAGTCCGTCCTGGGTGACCGTGAAGTTGATCAGCGTCGTTTGGGCCTGCATTTCCGGCTTGTAGTGCGGATTGGCCAGCTTCGTCTGGAGGATCAGCCGGAAGGACGGATTGTAGTCGACTTCGTGGTCGCCGATTTTTATTGCCCTGCACGATAAACAAGTGCTGGTTCAAACTGTTTTTCTCCACTGGGTAATACACATACATCATATCGTAATATTGTGTGCACGATTAATTTACCGGCCCTTTTTGATGAGCACGCGCCCGAGAATGGGATCTAGCACCGCGTCCACGCTCTCCATGATGTTCTCCAAGAGGACGATTTCCCCGTTGCTGATCGCCATTTCGATCTGATCCAGGTAGTTGCGCTGCGTCAGCCGGAGGATCTTCAAGTCGTCGCCGTACTTGGTTTTGATCCATTTGACGCCCTGGAGCTGAGGATCGATCATCAGTGGCCACCTCGACGAGTTGGTCAGTATGGTTGCATTCTCCGATGACATGCGATCGGTTGGTAGGCCTTTCAAGGAGAACCACTAGTCATTTCCCAATGCAACACCCCCAAGAGGTAGAACGTTCTCGAAATATTAATTTCGGAAAACCTTCGTTGTTCCATTGCGCGATCTGCGCGTCGTCGGAAAGAAGGGCCAGCGGATCCAAACCCTCGCTGATCGGTATCGGCGGGTCCAGCTTGTTGATGAACGGCATCCAGTGGACGTTTATCAAATCCTGTCGGTACTTTCGACTGAAGCAGCCCACGTACGAGATGAAAGCTGTGACCAGCAGAATATCGCCGGGTATTTTTTCTCCCGACGCCGTGAGCCTGTGATTCGTGTTGTGAGTATGAGCACTTTGGTTGTACTTTCTAATGGCTTTGTCTAGGGTACAGAGTGCTCGTTTTCTCTCACATTTCCACAGTCTCTGCCCAGCGAATTTTCTCCGAAGCGAGTCCGTTGACCAGCCGATTGGCCAGATCTATCGCCGTCGCCGTGGCGTCCGCCTCCGCTTGGCACTTTTGCTTCTCGCCCATCGCTATTTCCATCTTTTCGCCCAGGGCGTCCAGCATTTTTTGCAACTCCTAAGACAATTTTGGCGTTAATTATTATTCTTTGATAAAAACACGGCGGCAATCGTGTGAAATGAACAACCGACCCCCAAACGAGCGCGCAGGGACACAAGTTTATCGAGGGCGGCCTGCAACTCGGCATTGGCCTGCGCCAGGGCTTGTCTCAGCGGCTTGACGTCCTCGTTTATGTAGTGGAAGACCATGACGTTGATCACCCAACTGCAAATACCGGCGGCCGCTTGGGACTTGGAGCTTATGAAATCCGGATCGAATTCTGAAATACGCATACACCCATATAACCGGTCGAATATTATTGGTCGCGCAGTGACAACCTTTGTCGTCGATGTAGGGTTTGATGGCCTTGACGACGTCCGGGTGGATGTTTTCCTTGTTGTAGTTTCGCAGAGCCGAGAGAAACTGGTCAGCTCCGCCCATCATGACCTTGCAAGCTTTCCAGCTTCGATCCTTGGGCACTTTGCCTTTCGGGGAGAACAGGACGAGCACGGCTTGGGCTACTTTGGCGACGGCCGCTGGTGGTGAAGCGAAAGCTTTCAACTCGGTCAAGTTGTTCTGCAAGTGAAGAATCATGGTTTTGTTTTATCGGTCATCGATGTACTTTCATTGAAAAGACGACGGTTTACCTTGTTCAGAGTATTCAGAGCTGCTTCGGCTTGTCGCACGGCTGGTTCGGCCTTGGCGAGATCCTCGTCGCATTTTTTCTGCTTTTGCGAGACGCTTTCCTTGATCTCGGCCACCTTTTCCTCCTCCTCGGACACTTTACGAGTCGGCAAAGTTATTGCGAATCCCACGCGCTATTCATAATATACGTGCCATGAATTTTTGTTACCGAAAGCTTTTTCGACCTCCGCCTTGTCGTTTTCGGCTGTGACCTCCGCCAAAATCTTGTCGGCTACGTCGTTTTTCTTCTTCAGCTCGACTTCTTGCACGGCCAGTACTTCTTTCAGCCCGTCTGCCTATTTTTGCGCTCGATCAATCGAATATTAATTTGTCCCTCTCGAGATGTGGGTGTGAAAAAAATTTATACCGACCTGCTCAGCGCAGCTTTCGAGCTTCTCCAGGCCATTTTCCAGCCTCTCGATCATCGCTTGTAAGTTGAAAGTCTTGTCCGTCAGAAGCTTGGAGTAGAGGGCTATCTGTTCGAGGAACGATTTTGGAGTCGTGTAATTGTATCTTCTCTCGTTCTGGAGGTAAATTTTCGATATTTCGTTCACGCTCGTATGCACAAACGACATGAACAACGATACGGGCTTTCGGTATTCTCCGGGCAACACCTCGAGCTCCTATAGACAAAGAGATGAAAACAAAAAAAAAATTACACATTTAGATGGTGTTATGACAAATCACAAGTGTAAATGAAACTTGGTTACCCCGAGAAATTGCAAGGACACGGATTCCAAGGCTTCTTGCGGCCAATCCTGGAACCAGTTGATTGACGTACAGTTGACGATTGCCGGAAACTGACGAGCTCTTTTCCTCAGAGTCGCTCCCACGGGCGAGAAACATAGGATACACTTGAGCATCCTGCGCACTTTGTCGATAAAGAACTTCCAGCAGTTCTCTTTGGTGTCCAGCATCCCTGCTTGTTTCACCTGTTGTTTCAACGTCATTATCAACATCAGTGAAGATCAGCAAGGAAAATCGGTCGTCACGAGGTACCTCGTTTCTCATGGCATTGATCATGTTTTCGATTTGGTCATCGGGGAAGAGATCGGGTATCTCACCGGACGCTAGCATGTCGTTGACGACGACCAAAAATCTTTCCTGGGCGACTTGCGAATCCGTCATTAGGAACGTGATACCGATGTTTTTCACGGCAGCTTTCGTGTAGAGGATCGATATGTCGGCTTTCAAGTCGTTTATCGAGTAGCCTTTTCGCAGTTGTACTTGAAACACCTTTTTTGAAAATCGTGCGTGGATGAGCCATTTTTCATCGAGTGATTCGATCAAGTTGTTCGGTTACCTCTAGGGAGGAAATAAAAGAGGACAGCCGTGACAGTGATTGTTTTCCCATACCACCAACGCCAACGAGTAGGGCGTTGCCGCGAGGCGACTCCAAAATCCGATTGATTCGGCACACGTGGTACATCGCGTCCTCGAACATCACTAGACTCATCGCCGAGACCTACAACAATTTTTTACGCCCATTTAGTCGAAATCCTACGAAATACAAAGAAAAAGTAAAATAAAATCGGCACCAGTTCATTGTAATTCAAAAGAGCATCGGTAAGCAGTTTCTCAAGATGCGGCCAGTCTCGTATCGGCATGTACTTCGGATCCCCGATTCCCTCGGCAAAGTGGCAAAAAATAATCGGCTCGGTAAACACGAATTCTTCTTCGAATCCCTATACATTGACGCAAGCGGCAGTTTTGATTGATCGGTAAAAAAGAAAAAAAAAAAAAAAAAAAAAATTCACACTTTCAAAGAAAAACCAACCGGTATATATTTCCTGAGAGCGTCACGGATAAGTTGATTGAACGCGTCCTTGTCTTCGGCGTCGACGAGTTTGTCGCAGTAAACTCTTGTCGCTTCGTGCACGTAGAGGCGAAGGAAACCGTTGACGTGCGGTATCGTGTTGCCGCTTGAGAACAGTATTCCCTGGAAAACGATTTTTTTTTTCACACCATCATACGTGCAGTGAGAATTGAAAAAAAAAAAACTATCACCAATCGACGTTAGTTACTTGGAAGATGTTCGACAAATCGCGGAGATTGAAAACGTAATGGAACTTGATGGCCGTTGGCAAGAAGGACGCGGTCACTTTGCCGTGCAAGTACAGCGCCGCCTCGATGAACGGCTCCGTTATTTTGGTAATGATCGGATTGATCTTGTTCAACGGGAACGTCAAGTGCTGCTCCAGAATTTGACTGTAGATCGTGACGAGAGCGTTCTGCCCGGGGAAGCTTTTGGAATAACAATATCATTGGACAACCATTTTTTTTTTTTTTTTTTTTTTCATTGGTAAAGATAAAAACTGATAAAAACTGGAAAAGTACCTCACGGCAAACGCGGCAAAGTGTCGTTGCAACCGACCATCGATCGTAAAGCTCCCGGCAGTGGGGTTCATGCAAGAGACGTACTGCGTGTTGTGGACGTCTTTCAGCGTGAACTTTTGTCGGTCGTACCTGTTTCGATTCGACGATGATATCACCATCGTTAAAACTCGGGGGTGCGAGAGAAAAAAAAAAAAAGTCATTTTCCCCCACCAGTGATCGTAATCCATGTGCTGGCGTATGATGGTATGCGGCTGTACGGTCCCGTACGTATCCACTTCGGGCATGTTCAGGTCGTCGATGAAGTAAATCAGCGACTTGGAGCCCGGTGGTCCGTAATTACGCCCGGCCTTCTTCTCCAGAGGCTTCTCCAGGACTCGTTGCAGCATTTCTGCGTGGAAAAAGAAATTCATGAGTCTCAACGGCCAAACCTTAGTACTTGTATCGTTGAGAGGGACAACAAAGGGGGGTAACCGGAGGTCGTGTAGTAATTGAAGGGTACGTTCGCCACGATGTAGTTGTCGGACAGGCTGGAGAGCTTGTCGGCGACGATGACGCTTTTACCCGAGCCGGCACTGCCGATCAGCATGACCGGCCTTTTGCGCGCCATCAGGAGATCCATGAAGAACCTCAGGCGGACCGTTTCGGCGGTCGGGACCAGCGTAGCCTTCGCAACGCACAACGAGGTGTAAGTGAAACGAAAGAAACATTAAGATAAATTTTGCGACTCGATGGGCATGCCTGTAGAGGGATGTCCGGATCTAGATCGAACCCGCCGACGATTTCTTCCCAGGGGGTCAGTTTCTTCGACTCCGGCTCGATGAAGTAGCCAAAGACCGAGCCGCCCGAGGGGAACTTGACGGCCTTGAATTCGCTCAGCCACCACTTGCTGAACTCGTTGCGCCAGTCGACCAGCTGATCTTGGAACATTGCCGATCCGAACGCCCAGATGCAGGCAAACGCGAAATACAGCTCGTACCTTATCAAATTTCACGGATCAACGTCTCTATTTCTCTGTTATTTCCATTAATTCGTGTAATGAGCATCAAAGAGCCGCGTTGGGCGCGCTCTCTCTAATCACCATTCCCGTGGACAATCGGGGGGCAAGTTCTGAGGAGTCAAGAAGCAATCGAGCAGGTTGCACAGCATCTCCAGGTGGGCGATCTCAGGGATCGGCGTGATCTTCTTGAACTTGCCCTTCGTCACCTCGAGCAGGGTCGGTATGTACTTTTCGAAAAGCACCAAAAGAGTGCCGCGCTCGCTCTCCACTCGCGTGTCGATCCAGCTCTGGACGAATCTGGGGTACAGCACGCGTTTCGCGGTCATTTTTACACCGTACAGGTATCAGCTGATTTAAAAAAAAAGTACTCACGGACTCCAACCGAGATCCTGTGGATTGATGTACAGGATTCCAGCTCGTGAAACCGTGGCAGGAGTGGCCGTTCTAAAACGTCGAGAGTACAATCCGCCATTCAAGTTTGAAAGGTGACTATAAATCCCCGCGCAAACCTCAAGTTCGAGATCTCGAAGAGTAGCCTCATCTGTTTGGTGAGCGCGATGCGCTCGTTGCTGGCGAGGGTGAGCACCTTGTTGTCGTCCATCACCGTGTTGAGGGACTCTATCCACATGGGATCTATGTCGCCGTCGAAGATGATCCACTTTGGCCCGTCGCCTTCCATGTTGGCTTGGTCGCGCATGAGAACCGACACCAATCTGATGCTCACCAATCGAGGTTTCAAAATCTGATTTGCCATCAACGACGTATAATAATAATAATAATAATAATAATGAGCGCATGAATTACCCGTCCTTCCATTCCCTGGTGGCTGGATTGATGATGCCAAAGAGCTCGTCGTTCGTCACGGCTTTTGGGTTCAAATCGTTGAAGTAGGGCTTGCGACGTTGATTTTGATAGGTGCGGTACAGGGTCTTCCACACCTCGGATTTTCCAGTTCCGGCGAAACCGACGATGAACACCGAGTGCCGGACGAACAGGAGTTCCTCGAGCTGCACGACTTTGAGTATGAAGCCGTCCTCGGGCTGCAGTTTGAGATCCAGAGTGGCACGCTTCACATCCTTTTCGAAATCCAAGTCACGCTTCCGCGGTACGTCCAGGGCGGGGAACAGGTCGCCTTGCTCGTGGACAATTTTTCAAATGGTTCCGAATGAAGGTTACAATGTGCAGATAATGACGAGCGTATACCTATGAGACCCATGAATACGGGCACGTCGTCGGTGACGATCTTGGGAAGATTGAAGTCACGCAGCGCCCGCATGAGCACCTGGTCCTCCGGTCTGTTTCGATCGCCTCGCTTTAGCTTACCGGCTACCACGAGGACGGACTTTATGGCTCGCAGACCCCAATCGTAATGGTCCTGCTTCGACAGGAGCTCGCGACACAGGGTGTACAGGGTGATGAATTTACGGGCGAGTAGACGAGCCTCCTGAAAGCCCTCGGCGACCAGCATGATCTCGCAAATGAGCTCAAAGTCCGGCACCACCATGGCACATGGTCTGAAACGACACGGTATAACTCGGAATAAACAAACGGCCTTGCCAATAAGCAACACGTATCATACCTGAACAGAGCCTTCAAGTTCTCGGGTAGTTCGGTTCTGCCCGCATAGCCGGGGTTCATGGTAATGAACATCCCGACCGAGGGCACGAGGTTGAGCTCCTCGCCGAAGAACATAAAAGTTTTCTTGCGACTCTTGATTCCGTCGAGGACGCTCTTGACCTGGACGGCCACTACAGACAGCACCTCGACGCTTATGCGGTTAAACTCGTCGAAGCAGCCCCAGGCCCCGGTCTGCGCCAGTCCCTTATAAATGTTGGCGCAGGATTTGTAGTCCATCTGCTCGGAGCAGTTGAACACGTAGACCATCTGGCCCAGGGCTCGGCCGAGATCCTTGGTTGTCTCGGTTTTGCCGGTACCGGCCGGCCCGGCCGGGGCTCCGCCCATTATCAAGTGCAACGACTGCGTCAGCGTTATGTAGCACCGATCCGTCAGGGGTGTTATCACCAGTCGAGGCGTGTTGCCCAGGTACTCGTAGGAGTAGGGGAACGACGCGTCGCAAATGTTGGCGAAACAGTCGCCCAGCTTATCGTCCCATCTTGCGGGTGGAAAAATCGGTATCACAGGATTTTTTTTTGTTTTTTTTCGCCACATGTATCACATGGTGGAGATGGATTCTATAGAAACCTGTGCCGGAGTTGCGACTGCCATTGGAAATTCGCGGCGTTCTCGGCTTTCATGTTTATCAGCTTGGCAACGACGTCCCTCGCGTGCACGTCTATCGTGCATATCGTCATGATCTTTTGACGATCGTTTTCCGTGAGCTCGCCAATCAGCAGAAATATCAAAGCGCTCAGCTGAGCTATTTGCTTCTTCTGATAATCTATGTGAGTGTTTTCCATCGATGTAAGATTTTCATAGATGTATATGAGATATGTAGATATGAGATTGAAATCAATGTATACCTTTGAGCGCATTTTCAAAGCCTTCTTCAAGTTGAGCCAGGGCCATCGTGACTTCGCTTGTCCACCAGATCTGAGTGCCACAGAGGGCAGGCTGAGCCTCGTAATCAAACAGCCACACTTCGCGCGGTTTTTCGGCGTACGAATTGACCGCTTGACCAAAGTGATAGCGCACCGTGCGCTTCATCGCTTCGGTGACGCGGTTCAACCATATTTCAACCTAAATGTTGAATAGACTTTTTTTTGGCCGATGCAACTTTAGCGTCGTTAGTTTTTAAATTTTTTATTTTCAGTCCTACGTACCTTTCCACTACAATCACAAGTTCCAAACATGTTCATGACCTCGCCGTCTTTTGCCACGAGACTGTTGGCTAACAATGACAACAACAACAACAACAACAATAATAAAAGTTACTTTGACCATTATGGTGTGCTTATTCGGGTGGATGAATCTGTAAACCTGTTTTAGAATTGCGCCCGCCCTCCACCTTCCATTTCAAATTGGCTACCGAATCGTACAACTTGGACAAGTGTTTGCAAACGAGTTCGGGATTGTTTCCTAGGGGGTGGGGAAAAAAAAAAAAAAAAAAAAAAAAAAAGCAGCAACACTGCATCACCTACAACAACCGTCACCGCCGCCACGAGCAAACCGCTGAAAAAGAAGCTCACCACCAAGCCCGCCGTTGCACAGTTGAAAAACAAGCGGCCGGTGAAGGTGCAAAAGTACTGCGAGCTGAACAGCGACGACGAGTCGATCAGCTCGAAGGAGACGAGCGAGGAGGCGAAACCAACCCCCACCGTCACCAGACGATCGGCTCCCTCGAGCGTCCCCAAGGACACCAAAAAATCCGAGAACCGTAGCCTGAGATCGAGCCGANCTTGCTCGGCACGTGGCGCGCTCTTGTCAACACACAGTGCCTGCAATTCCTGCACCCCCGCGTACTATCACCGCGCACCGATATCATACACACGAAACACACGCACTTAACTGTCAGTGTACAACTGTGACGACAACGAGGGCACACACACGGACGAGGGGGCCTGATGCATCCATGCAGCAGCCGTTCACGTTATACGTTGTTGGTGATGCGCCATGTCTGCCGCAAGCATAAGCGCGCGTTCGTGCAGTTGCGCGTGTGTCGGTGAGTATTGGCTAGCTGTAATGTACTGTATATTTGTGTGGCAATGAGTCGAAAAAAAAAATATATATATATATATATATATTATGTACAGTAATGTCAAAAGTACAAGAACAGTAAGCTCGTGGCTCACTTGGTTCTCCTCGAGGGTGTCGATGGCCTCCTCGCTGATTCTCAACACGTTCAGTCGAGTCCTGTCGTGCACATCCTTTTCGAACTCCATTTGCATCCACGTATTCCTCAGTTCATTAAGCACCTTCTCCATGGCCATCTCCTTGACCGCCTTGTCCACGATGTTCTTCACCTCCTCCTCGAACCTGTGAAGCTCGAGCTTCAGGAGGTCATCCAACGTCGTCTTGTTGTCCATGTTGAACTGCACCTGTAGTTCGAATCATAAGAATATTATATTACGTTGACCGTCTTCGCCGCGTCTTGCGTATAGAAAATGACCTTGGTTTCGGCCATCAGCTCCTGCCAGTGGCGTTCTTTGATGGCTGGATTCTGCAGCTCCGAGACCGACCTCAGCGAGGACATCATGTTCTTCAGTTGGGAGTCGATGAACTCGTACAACTTTAGAACCTTAACTTCCTTATCCAGAACTGCACGCGCCAAGGTAATTTTAATTTTTCAATCCACAAACGAAGAATAAACATTAAATGGCCAACGACAAAAAATAAGAAAATCCACCCACGTCTCAGTTCTCTCGTGTACTTCTTGCACTCGTTGTCCATGTTCTCGATGTCGAGCTTCTTCCACACGGTCGTCTTCCACTGGGCCAGACTCGACGTAATCACGTTCGCGTAGTCCCACAGGTTCTTGATCATTCGCATCTCTTGGCGCAGTTGCTCGAGCTCAATGAACTCGGGCATCGGCTGCTCGAATATCTCGGAGGTCCGCGCCATTTCGCGAAGGTCTCCGAGTAGCTCCTCGACCAACTCGTTCAGGCTGTCCATTTTCTCGTAAACTCTCCCGCACGCGGGGCTGTGCGAACGCAACACGTTGAAATATACAGAAAGCCCACCGATTCGTTCATATATAAGTACCCATTACTTGTAAATCTCGCTCGCGCGGAATTTTTCGAGAAGCTTGCGCTGCCGGTAGTCAAAGTACACGAGCTTCTTCTTCAACCAGTCGATCTGAACGGCAAGCAGCGGAGCTACCACTTGTTTCACTTGCGCGGCCAGCTTCTTGATCGAGTTCCAGAACTCCGGCAGTGTCATCAGCTGGTCGTGGGTGTGCTCGTCGAACTCGTAGTCGTACAGGTTGAGCAGCTGAATCGTGTTCTGAGGAAGATCGGTAAGGAGACAGCGTGGTTTTGCCGATCGATTGACATTTTACACGTATAATTATGTACCTTTATAGGATCAAACATCTCCTCGATCTCGAATTGCCGATCTCGCACTTCCTTCAAGTAATAAATCGCATCGAGGAGTCCGTCGTAATCGTCGTCCTCGATGGGCAGGGTGAACCTTCTGTAGGCTTTGTTCAAGAAAGCTGACAGATCGTCCAAACTGTGAACGAAAAAAAAAAAAAAAAAAAAACATCAAAAAGTAGTTCTTCGATGTATTTTAAGAAGGTATCCCCTTGGAAAAAAAAAGAGGCCAGGGAGAGCAACCTCTTGTGCACGTGGTCGACCAGGTGCTGCTTCAGTAGGTTCGACCATTTGCAGACCGTGTTCAAAAGGCTTTGCTTCAACGGCCTGATGTTGACACGCAGCCACTTGTCGATGACGTGCGAATCGGCGATGGCTTCGCACTCTCCGTACACCCCCAAAAACCGGTCCATCTCGCTTCTAAAGTGCTCCAACTGGGGCTTCTTCTCGGGCAAGCTTTCGTGCGCCTCGCCCTCTTCCAGACTCTCCAGTAGCTTCGTCTCGGTCTCGTTCAACACGCGAGCGAAGCGCAGGAAGAGCTGGAGATACCTGTTCCGATCGTCCATCCACAGCCAGGAGTATACGTTGAAATTCTGCAGTTGACCACAGGTATGGTTGTTGTTGTTTTTTTTTTGTTTTTTTTTTTCATAAATAAATTATATCATTGTCGCGTAACGGTGCACTCACTTCGGCGTACTTGTCAGCTTCTTTGATGGCCTTCCTCATGCGCGACGAGGTCTCCTCGAGCATCAGCACTATGTCCTCGTCTTCCGCGAGGTCGATCTGTTTGTTTAGTCAGTGCATAAGTATAGATGATACGATAATTGTTGCCAATGAAACGAATTTTACCGCGTAGCAGTCCCGTTCGCTCAACTTGTCCGGGTCGACTCTGCGCACGAGGGTGGCCATCCTCATGATGTCGAGCATTATGTCCTCGTGGATGGCGTACAAACCGTTGGGATCATCGTTGTCGGTGGTGGGGAGGTATGTTACGTCGGGCTCGTCCAAAAGTAGCTGCATCTCGACAAGCGGCTCGTTATCCGATGTCTCGTCCGTCTCCGTTATTATGTACCGAACGCTAAACACCATACCGATTTCCCTTATCCAGTCTACGGCATAATGTATACTATAAATGACACACCTCGTAGACGCCGCGAGAACAAAGATCCGTGAGATTATGTCGTCGACCAAGGCGAGATAACTCCGGAACTTTTCTCGGTGCTGCAAGTCAAGCGCGGCCTCCTCGTCAAGTCGGAGTTGCTCCGAAGGCGTTGGCGTCAGCTCCTCCCCTTGCCCGTCCTCCGACTCGGGCTTGCTCCCCTCGGAGTCTTCGCCAGCTTCTCCCATCCTACGTTGTTCGGCGAAAAGCACGTTTTTATACAAACGAGTATATTTACATGGCAGTCACGAAGTAAAGTGAATGACGAGGTGTACTTGTCTCCTGAGTCCTCCTCATCTTCGGCCAACGAATGTTCTTGAATGAAAAAAAAAAAAAACATTCTGGTTTGAAAACAAACGATCGACGTTTGACAATAATCGTGCGTACCTTCTTCAGGCTGCAACAGCTGCTCGGGTATCAGATCAAAGTACAGCTTGTAGTTCTCCTCTAGGAGCCGGTCTAGCTCCTCGGCGTCGTCTCGCACGAGCTGGTAACGCCTCTCGAAGATGTCCTTGCGCTCGGCCACGGCGAGTAACTGCTGCCTCTTGTTGTCCCGGCGCACGAGCACCGGAACCCGCGCCCACGACTCCATCTTCTCAACCAGCTCCTCCAGGTTCTTTTGGGCCCGCAGCAGCCGCTTGCAGAGGCTCCCCACCATATCGCCGAGCTTGTCCACGTACTCGGACACCTCTACCGAGGGATCATAAGGCTTGTCGTCTCTCTATATTTGACACGATGAAAGTTCATTGAGACGTACCGGGCGAGTTCCAGGTGCAGTTCTCCTGGGTGTAGGCAATCAGCTCGTTTATGGCGTCGATTTCTTCGCTGAGCAGATAGGCCTCGACTTGGTTCGACTTTTCATTGATGATCTTGAACCTTTGACAGAATCGGTGTTGGGTGATATTTTTCCATCGCCGTGACCAAAAAAAATCTGTTAATGTATACCGACCAGTTCGTGATGTTGTATAACTTGACGTTGGTATCCCAGAAAAAGGAGGCCCTCTCGTGCACATTGAGAACATCGGGGGGCAGGTCGTCCCGCTCGAGGATGACGATCATGTGCCGCAATTCCCGCAGCACCGTCGCCAAGTCCTCGTCCAAATTAGCGGCCAGGGTGCCGTTCTCGTCATAACGGAACATCGTCTTCGACAATCCGATCTCGCACCAACCGGGCACCTTTTCGACCCACTGCTTGAATATTTCTTGCTCCTTTTGGCTGATCAGCTCCTTCGATCATTCCAAATACCGAATCGTTCAACGAGAGGTACACGCGCGTACACGACATTAAACATATGCCACATATGCGGGATGTAGGGATTTACGATCAGTTCGGCGTGTTTCTCTCTGGCGAGGACTCCGTACTCGGACTCGATGAGCGGGTGCTCGATCGACCTCGTCCACTCGATCGGCTCGTCGACGCGAGTCCTGAGCTTTTGCAGGAAACACAGCGAGCTCGAGACGGGAGGGAAGCTCTCGTCAAACTCGATGAAGCCCGTTTTCTCGTACGACTTGATGCTTTGGTCGTACAACACCTGTAACCGATCGCGCACTCTCCGGTTAATCAACCGACGCGACGATAATCGACACTCATCGCGAGCATTGGTATACTTTTGATTGGTCCAGTTCCTCGTGCAATTTTTCGACGATCCTCTCGTAGTACGGCCACAACTGCTTGAAGATGATGGGCCGCGAGACTATGGTCCCGATGTTCACGGTGAACTTGTACATGCTCTCCAGGGTGTGGCACTCCGAGAAGGCTTGGTCGAAAATCGTGGCCAGCCTCCGGTCCATTTCCTCGATCTCGAGACCGAGACACCAAGTTATATATTCCTCGCCAACACACACCGGTACGTTTCATGAATGGGAAAAAAAAAAAAAAAAAAAGGCACACACCTCCGCCAAGTAGGTAACGATGTCCTCGTTGAAGCCGGGATCCTCCGGCAGCAGCATCTCGTAGTTGACGCCAGCCAGTTCGTTGTACCGTTTGACGAATTTCTCGTAAATGTCGAGGACCATCGGGCCGAGTTTCTTGCCCCGCAGACCCGCGATCTCGATCTTCTCCAGCTTGTAGTACTCCACGGCGAAAACGAAGATCGACTGGGACGCGCATTTTTTTTTTCCCAAAATGATGTACATTTTGAATATAATATATATAAGAAGAAAGCAGTATGTACATTGAGCTGTTTCAGGCGGCGCAGGAACTCGAGGAGCCTGTCGAAAATGAGCTTCTCGTGAAAGTTCCAGCCAGCAGAGTCGCGCGAGCCCTTGAAGTAACTCGGCAATTTAGCGCGAAATGCGTCGTAGGTGCTCTGGAACGTTTCGATCACCAAGATGACTTGAGCCGTTCGCTTCAGGCTGTCCTCGGCATCGCCCTGGAACAGCGAACTCGGCTCCGCGTATTCCGTGGCCTTGAAGCGAAAATAATAACGATTTACGATACCCACACACATTTAACTGGGTGGACGGCGTTTAATTGAAATATGCCACCATCTGCATGAGGAGGTTCGATATCTCTTTGAACAGGGTGATGATGCGCGAGCTCTTGCAGTAGTACTTGGACCGGGACCAGGTGAGGCAGACGCAGTGCATCATGGGCTTGAACTTGTTGACGATGTCGGGAAAGTTGGACTCGCTCTCGAGGTCTTGGAAAACTTTGTCCAGCGGCAACAGGTGCAGGCACACGTCGCGCGCCTCGACCACGGCTGATTCCAAGGGAAATAAACTTTGTTCTTTTTCTACATAGTATACATATATCACACTTATCTTACCGCCGACCACGTCTTTGAATATGTTTTCCAGGCACATGAGGTATGGGCTCTTTGACTGCTCGAGTATGGATGCCATTTTCTTGACCCGCGGGTCCCTCAGCTGCTCGTAAATCGACTCGACGTTCTTGAGCCTCTTCCTCCAGAACAATATTTCTACATTCGATAACGCGCGTGAGATGGACATGGGTGTATTTGGGAGCTGGTGGTGTATATATGTGACGGAGGACGATACCCGATCTGGGCAAGGGATTGGGCTCGGTCTCGAAAACCTTGGTGCTCTCCTCGACGAGGGCCTCGTTGATGTAGCCCGCCCACGTGACGACAGACCGCTCGATGTTGCGCTTCAGCTCCGGTGGCACGGGGCCGTCGCCAAACACCTGGTCGGTACCCATGGGCATCGGCAGTATCGTGTCCCCGCTCGATTTGCTCCGAATCTTGTTTTGAGATCACGTTTCAGCGCTACACATTTTGCCAAACGGATAAGCGTGTACCTGGCATATGAGGGTGCGGAGCTCGTAGACTTGCTGCTTGACGTCGTCGGCGATGTAGTCCGGCCACTCGCCGCGCGGTCCCGGATCCGTCAAGATCGGTATGAACGTCTAAACGATTGCGGCTGGTTCATCGATTCGGAACAACGAGGAAGGTGGGGAACACTTTTACCTCCTCGACGATGGAAGTCAACTCCTCGAAAGTCTTTGGTGCCAATTCCCCGGTCGCCAGCACGTCCTTCGCGTTGTCGGCTGTTATCGCTACCACGTCGCGTTTCAAGAAGTAGCTGTACTTGGCCTTGTAGTTCAGCTGGATGAACGAGTAGGGTACCAGAAAACCGAGGGAATTGACTTCCAGCAGCAGCATGTTTTCCGTGGGTATGGTGAAAAAATTCAGGAGCACGTTCTGTATACGAGCGCGACCAAATTCGTTTACTTCCATATTATGTAGTCTCAGGGGTAACACGTTGTTTTTTTTTTTTCAAATTTACCGTGTAGTCGACATTGGACTTTAATTTTTTCCAGAGCTCCATTCTCAGTTTGGTCGTATTTATCATGTGTTGAAGGATAAAATCGAACCGTGGGTCGGGATCTTTGTTCTCGTCCTCGTCGTCGGCGTTCATTGTGTCGAATCGTTACGTCACGCAAATTAATTAACCATAAACAACAACAACAAGATAATCATCCATCGACCAATTATTATTACTTTGGTCCTGTTGTGCATGTAAATAACTCAATGATAACCTTTTTTTTTTTTTTTTTTTCGAGTGGACAATACATGCTTTGTTGTCAAAGTGTCAATTGTGTACAGCGTTGTTACATGAAGTTGTTGAAACTCGAACGTTTTCAACTTGGTTTTGTTTTCGTACGGGCATTCGAGCAATAGAAACACATTTTGACGATAATGCAATTTGTTTATTTTTCCACAAATAAGGTACTACAAAATTACAATAAGTTCATTATTTCTTTATTGAAATGTTGCGCGTTCTTCGCTATGTTTGATATCATTTCTTCTTTTTTCCCTGAAATGGAACGAAATGAAAATTTACTAAATTTATTTTGTGACGACTTTAAGCTTAAAACTAAAAATACAACTACAGTACGACACGAACCTTTTTCTTCTTTTTCACGGGAAGGCTCTTTTTCTTCTGCAAGATGTCTCGCCACCACCTCTGAATTATCCTGGCGTATCTGTTACTCACAAACTTTTCGAGCTTCTCCCTCAACTCGGCGAATTCTCGCTCCTCGCGTTCGGCTATTATTCCGTTGTAAATGACCAACTGTTTGTCCATTTCCTCCTGCAACGTAACAGCAATCCTTCCTTATATTTGAACTATAATGTGTATTTTCTTGACAATACCGACCATCAGTGGTGCTTTCACTTTTTCCAAATCGGCCAATTCCATCTCCAACTCCTCGTAAGCCGCCTGTCTGTCGGCGATCTCCGTGTCGTACTTTGTTATAATACCCAACAATTGCGACTCCACTTTGAACCTGTATGTAAAGTATATACGTTAAACCATGATTGTAGAGCAATAATGTATAACATGTATAACGATATCGTTTACTTTTTGCCTTGAACGTCGGCTTCCGATTTACGATTCTGGGCCTTTTGTCTCTCCAAACTGTCTTCCGCTCGTCTCAGCGCAGCTTGCAGTTCGCCCATCCTCACGGTGAACTGCTCCCGCGACGCTTCCAGAGTCTCCTCCGAGTCTTTACTGCAATAGTTTTACTGTAATAACGTTACCATCACAATAATCATTAACATATTATGTGTACATATCAGGTTCAAGGAGGCTGATTACAGTATTTTCGAGTGCGCGGCGTCTAACTCTTCGTTGATCCTTTCCCATTTGCCCGAGTACTCGTTCCACCGGTCCAAAAACCGTTTCGACTCGGCTTGGTGCCGATTTTTTTGCTCCTCCAAACTACCGGTCAGATCCCCGATGATTCCCTGGGTCCGCTCGATTTCGCTGAACAACCGACGCAGATGGAGCTCGTTTTCCCGCTCCTCGAGCGACGTGAGCTTCGTTTGGGACACGGCAAAGTCCATGAAGTACTTGAGCTGACGCGTGAAACTCAGGGCTGATTTCGACAAGTTTTCGAGATTTCGCTCGGCCACGTGACGTACCAGCGGATACGACGACAAGATCTTGGGGAAGTTCACATGAAGTAGGTGGTGTACACATGTATATGCATACCGATCACCGGTTTTTTTTTTCTCACCTCGATAGCTTTGTACACGTCGATGTTCATTTTCGGAAAACACGGGGAGGGTGGACCATCTGGCTTTTCGGAGCAGCCCGTGGTCTTTCCATGTATCGTCTCATCGCGAGACGACGTCGAGCCGTCTTGGCTACCTTCTGCAGCTCCAGTTGACGACTCTACTTCAATGGACGGTATTGCGGTTGAGGATCGAAATGAGATTACGAAAGTAAAACAAGCAATTGTCCACTAACTCGGGGATACTGGTTCCTTGGGGTTGTTTTGACAGCGCAAAAGCGGAGCGAACGCCAGGACGACTTGCTTGTAGTCCTCGTAGGTCAAAATTTCCATTACCCTCGGGTGTGAAAGAACCGAGGGTAAAGTGACCTGGTGCACGAGGGTTAATAAATCGATGGAGGTGATACATGGTAAGATGCAATACGTGATCGGTTACCGCGAATTCGAGTTTCGTCATTATGATGGTGAAAATTTCCACGAGCCTGTCCAGATAGATTCTGATTTCTACATTTTCAACTTTTGGCTTCTGAAAGTAGGTGTTGCTGCTTTCCATCGAGTCTTTGTTGAAATTGGAATGACATTTCTTATCCATTTTATTTGCTCAACTATTATATCCATCTTTGTCCATTTGTAGTGAACAAATGTTGTAGGTTATTGACAAAACTATACTTGAAAATATAAAAAGCAACATTCGATTTGATGTAAGCATATAGTAACTATATAGGTGTGATTATCATGCAAAGAGTACACAAGACAAGTAAAAAGGAAACCTCGTTAATAGGAGTGTATGTGTCGATTAAGTAAAAATGTACTTATATTTTTAATTATACGATTTTATTTAATCAACAATTTTTTTTACAATTACAATGTTATACAAGCATAAAAGTTTACAATAATTGTCGGTGGTGAATAAAATAAGGATTCATTGTAGGAACGAGGTGCCCTCAATTTTTCCAACTGGTTTGCAACACTTTTATTTTACACTTGAAATTACATCTTATTATTTGTTTATTGATTGCATGAATCGTTCAAAATTCACACTTAAATACGAAATAACTATTTTCTCTCGCAGCAAACGGTTGCCTACAATACACATGCGTAAACGTGTACCAAGTGTAAATAAAATGATGAAAAAAAAAANAAAAAAAATAGAAATAATAAATTAATACAAATTAAAAAAAATATCTTTGTTTATGCGTTAATTTAATCTTACTCTGGCTGAAAATAAAGTCGCTACGAAAGCTCGGGATTTTTTTATCACACTGTCGGACGATTGTAAATAAATAATACGTTTTCCATAGGAGCGCGCACACGATTCTTTCTACACTTGGAATAAGCACCTTTTAACTTTAGAGTAGGGATAAAAACAGTCATGATTATCGTGACTACAAAGATTTCATTGTTAAAAATATTTATTAACCTATTGTAAATAATAAGGTATTTTTCCAAGTGTCTTTTCCAAGTGTCGAAAGTCACGTGCAAACACCTAGTTTTTAACAATAATTCGGGTAACGAGTACCAAGTGTGTACAATCATTTAAAACATCAATTACTTACTCCATAAGAAGGATAATAATATTACAATTTCTTATAGAGTACGACATTGGTTCTTCAAAACTCCACCCGAATATATAGCGGATCTAAAGTAGGATATATAATAAATAAATTTAAAAATCTATAAAAATTTAAGAGATTACAATGTACTCTAGAATACTTTAATTGTTCACAGTAATAATCTTGGAGTCAAACAGAAATTTACTTGATCTCTGAATTCATACCTGCAACATATGTTACAATCTTTTGTCTTTATAGTTTGTAACTTAAAACTATACATTAATAACAAAAAAAAGCTATACTTGTAAGGATTTTTCCATCCCAGTAAGTATATAACGAAAAAAAAAAATAGCAATAACGGCAAACTTTTATCGCAAAGAGCGCCAAGCAAAATCTCTGAAAGGCGAGCTAAGATAAAAAAAAAAAGAAAATTGACTTCTCTCCCACCGCAATCGCAATTTTTACCAACAACTGGATCCAGCCCCAGTGGTACTTAGAGCTCGTGATGTGGACGACGATGATGATAAGCCGAGGGTTTTCTATTGTTCATGCGCCGTTCCTCCTCCATCCTCATCCACTGGCGCGAATCTGCTCGGGCAGAGTACCAATCAGAATTGCGCTGCTTTTCGCGATCACCACCTCTATTCTTGGTCTTTTTGTTTGATTTTCTGGATTTTTTTTTTTTTTTTTTTTTTTTTTTTTTTTTTTTTTTTTTTTTCATCGTCGTTGTTTGCAAGCGTGCACCAAAAAAGAGGACAAACAAGCAAAGCTGATCAGCTATATGATGATCCTTTTTCTTTGTAGATTTGGTTTTATTGTTAATTTTTATGTTATGGTTTAAAACAATGATCACATGGGCAGACTTAGTTAGACGAATAAAAGAAGTATCGGTTATTTGTTTCTAGCGTCATTTGGCTTTGATAGTTAAATGATACATACATACGAATTTGTTTTGAAAGTATACAGAATTAATCAAACTTGATGCAAAACGTTTACTATTAGTATTGTACGGTGATTATATGTATAAATAAATCAGGCGTTAATATTTTACAACACACACGAATATTCTTACTAAATAAAATAAAACATAAAATTTCTAAGTATTTCAAGCAAACGCTAAAAGGAATGTGTAAGTAGGAGACGCCAATACTAGAGAAAAAAAACACTCGTTAAAATTAGAATACGTCTAAAAAGTTCTAATTTTACGTTTCAAAGTTAAAATAGCGTAAATCACACTAAAGGACTTTGAGAAACTGTGTAATTAAATACAGATTAACCGTAACGCACGAGCTAAATTGAGAATTTGTATTTGGAAAATGTGCCAAGTTAATTAATTCAACGCTACTTCAGTAAAAGTTGGCATTAATCAAGCTCTCGACACTTTTATACATCAAATGTCTACATCTATCGATCAAGTTTCAAAAATAATAGTAACAATAATAAAATTTTGCCCATGTTGTACAAGTTTATTTTAGAAAAAAATATCCCTTACCTTTCCATCAACCACTCGCCGTTCCTCTTTTCTCTTTCCCTGTCTCCATAATTTTCATTAAAATACTTATCCCGCGTCTCATCTGAGTCCACGTATCTTTTTGGGTGATCCTTGTACGAATAATGCTGATGACGATGGAGACGATGATCGTCATCGTCGTCGTCGTCGTCATCGTCGTCACGATACCTCTTTTTGTTGCACTTATGGCCTGATTCGCAGTATTTTTTGTCATCACGTTCTTGATAAAAGTTTTCCTTTTTGTTGCTGTTTTCGAAATCACGTTCACTGAAATTTTTCTCCGAATCTGACTTATTCTCATAATCAGGCACCTTCTTGTTGTTCTCAAATTTTCGCTCATAATCGTACTCTTTCTTATTCTTATTACTTTTGTGTTCGCTATTCCAATCTTTCTTTTCATTGTGATCATCATTTTTTTTCTTGGGAGATTGGTGATCGGCATTTCGATTTTTTTTCTCATATTCGTGCTTTTGTACATAGTCGCCGTTTCTTTTGTTTTCATATTTTTTGTCAAAATCTCTCTCGTTACTTTCCCCAGAATCATCGTATTCACGCTTATGCTTGGAATTCTTGTTATTATATTTTTTATAGTTTTCGTTTTTATCACGTTTGTCATATTTTTTCTCTTCGGATGATTGTTTCTCTTTACTTTCAGACTTGTTTTTTTTCCAATCGTTCTTTAATTCTCCTTTACTCTTCTCTCCTGTCTCTTCCTTTTCCGATGAATCATTTCCTTTCTTTGCCCAATTTTTTTCTTTATTATAAATGTTTCCTTTGTTAGTTAGTGCTGGAAAATAAATGTTGTCGGTGAAATAATCATGTTGCTCACAAAATTAGAAATTAAATATTTACATTTGGATCTGAATGTCATTTCCTGTAGTTCCTCAACGTTGTTAGCGAATTTGGAATATGCATTTAAAAACTCAGATAACAAAGTCTCAGCAACAGTGTCAATTTCATGTTTATCTTCGTTCAAGGCACTGAAAAAGAATGTAATTTGATAACACCCTCATACTTTTGACAATATTTTTTATTGTGATGAAAATAAAACCTACTTTAGAAATTCGTCTTGATTTTCTTTTGGTATTTTACCTATTCCATTATTAGCTGTCCATTTCTTTTTGAAGGAAATCATATCGTGAAGTGCCCTTGGTGTTTTACACATTTTATTACGAAATCCGTTCATTTTTCCATTTATAGCACAATAACTCTCGTAAAGGGCTGCCACCAATTCTATTTTGTAGTTAACATGTTTCAAAGCATGTTCAAGGCTTATTTTGACATTCATAAAATTGTTTACATTTTTAGATAGATCATCAACAAGATTCTTTATTTCAGGCATTTTGTAATTGATGTCATCCAAACTGCTTGCCACTAATAAACACATAAATGAGCTATAATTGGAACTGTGATCGATTTATCACCAGCTTATGCAAGTTCTAAACACAAAATTATTTCTTACCATGATCAAGATTTTGCAAGTTTTCGGTAAATTCGGATGCTGGCTTTAATTTACCAAGTGACTCAAAAGCACATTGGTATTGAAGATCTTGATTATCCAGTTGTTGAAATTTATATTCTATGAAAGCATATGACACAATCAGAATTAGAGACGCAATCAATAATGCAAATCCACCAAGTAACACAGGCTGAAAATAATCAAGTATAAATAAACGAGAATTCATTATGTTAGGTAAATAAAAATTATCAAGTGAAACAAGTACTATGAATGGACGAATGGCATCAATGCCACAGCAATTGTCAGACTCTGGTTGGCTTGAAGACTCTCTCAATTGATTGAGATCCAACTTTTCAATTCTTTTTTCTGTAGAGATCGTATGATCGGGTTCTTCATCAGATATGACGGAAACGTCATCAGACTCAGTGTCTTTTTCTCCAGCTTCTATGCCTTTCTCAACTTGCTCCTCATCAATGTTCTCTTTTTGTTCTTCATCTTTCTTAACCACCTCGGTTTTTGTTTCTTGTAGAACTACAGGCGATTCAGGTTCGTTTAAATCTTTTTTCCTGATTTCTTCTTCAGCTGAATTGTTGATCTCTTTCACATTGGCTGTTTGATCAACAAATGTCCAGTCTCCGGATGATGAAGTGTCTTCAAAGTTGTCTGGTTTTGTTTGGCTGCCTGGCTCAGTCATGGCTCTTTACTGTCAAACAATAGAGTTTTAATTTTTAAACAAGTGCTGGTTTGTTTATTAAACTTAAACAGATTGTAAACCTTTTTAATGAATTTAGATAAAAACACATGTACTCTTGATCAAAATGCAAGAGTATTGTATACCTTTCTATAGGATGAATAAGTATTAAATAAAAAACAACATATTGCTTGAACTTTCACCACAAACAAAGTTTACAGATCATCAGAGATGATCAGAGGATGAGTTGAAATAAAGAGAAGCGCGAGATTCTGGTTATTTTTAACGTGTCGTTTTCAAAATACTGCCAAAAAGAGGAGTCATGCCCGTGTAAATACATATATTTTTATATACCTAGTTATACATGTATGTATATACATACATCACATAAATAATAGCGAAATGATGAGTTGAGAGGAAAAAAAATATATGGTCGGCTGCTACGGAACGTACACAAAATAATAGTTTGTTTACGTTTATCGATCCACCGCAAATGAATAATGAATCCGTATTCCGTTAGTTCCGTAAAGTAAACCCATAGCAAATAGTCACGCAAATTACAGAGAAAGAAGTAAAGTATATACACACTCACCTTACACTTGGCAGCCCGGGAGTCCTTTGTTCTCTTGTACATACACTTCACACGTGCGTCCTCGAGACGCCTGTCACCCGTCGTCGTGATTCTTTTTTCTTCGTCGTTCCTTCTTCCTTCTGCGCTGCCTGCGCCTTGCTGCTGCAACAACCTCTACTTATACTTACTATTTACTAACGCTACAGCTTATTTTGTTAGTCGTTTGTTAGGTTCTGGGTCACTGCAAAACCACAAAACTGCAAGTAGCAAGTGTGTTCGGTTAATACATTTATATAAATGTATATACCTAGGTTGAGAACGATCAGTGCCATCTAGCGATCCAAATTCCAATATTCCAAACTAAAAAAAGAACCATAATTATAAAATATCAAGAACAACTATAATAAATAATTACCCCTCCTTTTTCTCAAATGGAAAATCGAGAAAATCATACATCGACTATGATATCAGAACTCTGCTTATTCACATGCATGGGATTTTATGGGTAAATATTTCCTACATCCTTCCTTTATGCATTTGACCTGAAAAACGATTAAAACTACTTGGAGGAAATTAATATATACTTATCTTAGGAAATCACGCATATTTTGTTGTTTTTTTTTCTTTCAATATATCGCTTGTGTGTTATATATGCGTACACAAAAAAAGGGGGGGTCACTATCACTATCGACGAGGGTGGGAGACGAATAGAGGAGAGATGATTGTGTTTTAGAATCTAGTGCGGCTGCTCCGTTCCTCCCCCCTTCTGCTCTCGTTTAGTTACTGTTGCAAAACTATTCTGCTGCATCGCTCCTCTTGTGTGTTCGCGAATTCGCGCGAGAGGCGCGCACGAGGACTCCGTTGGCGAAAGCGGCAAAAAAATCAGTTTTGCAATTAATAATACAGAAACCCGCGTCATTTTCCTTATCATCTGGTAGTCTTGCATTTTTCACATGTATTACTGGGATGCTTTGATAATCACCGGCAACAAAGTGGGGAGCGGGGCCGACGGAATCTAACCTAGACGCTGCCTCTACCGCGATTCCCCAAAATTTCCATGCATATCCTTCCTTCCTCGGGCGTGCGCTTTTCAAGTTTCGAGGTTATGTTTGAAAAACCGACTCTTTCGTGACTCGTTACAGTAAACTCAATTTTTTCCCTTTCTTCTCTGCATGAAGTACCTACGATGAACCGATGAAACCGAAATAAAATTGATTCTTGTGATATTCGATACCTACAATGTCTCGTGGAGGATGACTGTTTCAAACTCTCGACTGATCTGAGGAACAGATTATCAATCACTTACTTATACAACAGGAGTGAAAATTCAGTGAGTTCGTTATTTTTATTTCTCTTAAATTTATATAACACTCACTTTTTTAAGCATGAGGCTGAAAATAAGCGCGCGCGTGTGTGCTGTATAATTAACAACACATATTGGCATATAATATTTGAGAAAATTACAAATATATATTTCAAACCTCATTTGCGGCTAAGCTATATATCTATACAACACAGCGCGGTGTTCCAAAGCGTGGAGGAGTTAGCTGTGCTTTATTGTCTTTCGCCGGTATATTTTTTCCAACATACATACTATGACTGCGACTTTGAGCATTTTATTTTTAATCTCGGATTTGCATAGAAATTATATTTTTCAGTCTTACAAATGAAGAGTTCAATTGCTCAAATAGTATTTTTATTGTAATTGAGGCAACGCGTGGAACGTGATGATCTGTTGTACGGAAATTTTTTTAATTTAAACTATCAATGGCGTTAATCACAAAGTTATTGTGTATTCATTACTCTATAAACTTATCAAGTTTTAGTTAACCTATTTGAGCGATGCTGTTGAAAGAAAAAGTTAAAATTGTTTTTTACCAAGCATTATATCAGTACTCCGACATATAAGTTTTGAAATTATTTTAAGTTTGAATTACATAGATGAAAAACTACTTGTTTCATATTTCTAGGTTGTAAAAAATGGATCCACCAAGTAATGAAGAGAGTGTTGACAATGTTGACACTGTTGTTGAAAGCGTGGAAACTATTGATGCACCAAAAGAAAACAATGACGTGGTTGTTCCTGTAGAACCAGTAACTTCCACTGAAAAGCCAAATGAACCATCTAGTGAGTCAGAAATATTAATAACCAATGAAGTAGACAGCAGCAAAGACAAAGAGCAGCTAGGTTGTGAAAATACTATGGAAGTTACAGAAGTACTGGAAATCAATAGGGTGCAGAGGGAAAATTGTTTGGAAGAAGTAACACCTATGGAAGTAGATGAAGTAGAGCCTGTTGAAGAAGCAAGTGAAAGTAATATTAATAGAGACGAATCTAGCACAGTTGAAGATAAAAACAAAAATGAGGAAGCTATCAACAGTGATAAGCAAAAAGACATTAGTGAAAATAATGATCAGAGTAGTTGTAAAGAAGCTGATAAGAGTTTAGAGTCTTTGGAGGGCGGCTTATTGATTTGTGAAACTGAATCATCAAAGGATGAGTCCAAGTTAGATGATAAAGAAACCAGTGCACAACCGGATGCCAGCACAGAAAATGAAAATAACAAAAAGGAAAGTTCAAATAAGCTTGATGAAACTAATAAAAGTAGCAGTGAGGACAGCCCATCTATGGAAAAAGAAAGTGAAAAAAAAACACCAGAAAATGGATCAGCTGAGCAACCTATACAATGTGATGATGTTGAAATGGAAACTTCAGAAGAAAAAGAATCAACTAATGAAAAAAACGATGCCGTTGAGAATACGGAGTTTGTCTTACTTAATCAGGAAAAAGATGATTCTCAGCTGGAAAATCAGTCAGATGCTGTTGATCCATTTGAAGGTGATAATAATAGTTCCCAAACAACCAACAATGTTGAATCTATGGAAGTAGATTCTGGTAACAAAGGATCTAAAACTGCTGAGGAAGAAGTTAGTTCCAAAAATGAAGATACTTCTAAAGATAAGGAAAAGGTGATTAACACTTGCATATGGATTCAAATCTTAAAAGAAAAAAAGAAGAAAAAAAATTCACTTTGTTTTCCAACATAATTGCCAAAATCAATCTGTGATTTATTTATTAACTAAAAGAATTTTTTTTTTATTTAATTTGTTTTTCAAATTTATTTACAGGGTACTACAAGTAATGATGAAAATGAAAAAGAAGTAGAAGTCATTCAAGAAGAAATTTTAATCGTGGAAAAATCAACAGAAGAAGTTAAGGAAACTGCTTCGACAGAATCTTCAGAGAAAAAAAGTGACGAGTCGTCAGATAATATCTTACTTAATCCAAACAAAGAACTGTGCATAATGCCTGGTGATAGTACAAAAGATAAAACTAGTGATAAGGAAAAATCAAGTGACCCCAAAAGTGCCGAAAAAGACAAGGAGGTAGACGAAGAAGACGATATCCTGATTGAAGAGGAAGTGAGCAAAACCAGTAAAATCTTGGAAAACAGTGAAAAAAGCAAGAATGTCCCGTCAACGAAATCTGCGGATAAAACTATCCAAAAGGTTGGCCTAAGAGTGGCAGCCTTAACCACGGAATCAAATGACATACAGGTAAACAAATCAAGTGATAGTCTGGCTATCGTTACTTCAGACGTAATTGAGATTGATGACGATGCCAAGAATTCAGAAGTAGAAGAAATCTCGGCCAATGAAGTTTGTAAGCAGTGCAAGAAAGAAAAACCTTGCTCCATTAAAGTCAAAGTTGGTACAAAAAGCTACAATGTCTGCTCGGATGCCTGCAAAACGGCCTTTTCCAACGATAACAACAAGGCAACTGACATACCCAGCGAGGGAGTCAATTCAAAAAGAGAGAAGCGTTGCGCTAACTGTCTTTTAATCGTCGAGGCCAAGGACGAACGCAACCTGTCCTGGGAAACCATGGAATTTTGTAACGAGGAGTGTTTAGGCAAATTCCAAACAAAGTACGGCAGTTATTGTAGAAATTGCAATGGGTCAGTTCAATCAGTTAGCTTAGGAAAGTACTGTGTGCGCTTTGGCTATGATGTTAGGCAGTTTTGCTGTTCCACGTGTCTAGAAGAGTTCAAAAAGGGTCTTAAAATCTGCAGTTATTGTCAAAAGGACATCAGCGCGGGAACTGAAGGCTTTCTTGCTCCTGTAGGTGATAAAGGCCAGTTCAAAGACTTCTGTAGGCAAGATTGCATGGATAAATACTCAAGGATGAACTCTTCAGAACCACCTGCACCTGAAAATAAAATTTGCAGTGTTTGTCAAGAGGTATGCGTTTTTTGATGTTTTCACGAAGAGAAAACATATTTTGTATATTAATTTTTTTTTTTTATGTATCTTTTCAGGAGAAAGTTGTGCACTGCGAAGTTCAAATTGGTGGATCTGCACCAGTAGCGATTTGCAGTGAACCCTGCTTCGCTGCTTTCAAGTTTGTCAATAAAGTCGATCCCGAACAGTGCTCTACTTGCAAAAAGTATTTTCAGTTACCTACAAGAAAAGGTTTCACCGTCTTCCATGAAGACGAAGCCCATTCGTTTTGTAACAAAACTTGCCTAAACATCTTTATTATTACAAACAGAAAGATTGTTCCCTGTAGCTGGTGCAAAGTAAAAAAGTATAATTTCGATATGATTAAAAAAGAATTGAAAGTAGGGCAGACCATTATGATGTGCAGCTTGAATTGCTTGACTTTATACGCGGTAAGACTGCATTATATACTATTTACAATTTATCTCCGCTTTCAACGATATTGAATGCGTTCTAATAAACTCGACTTTTTTTCCAGGTATCTATTAATGCGGTGTCAGCGCGACGTATCCACTGCGATTTTTGTAAAGAATACTCTCAAGCCCAATATCATTTGACCATGTCCGACGCAACTATTCGTAATTTCTGCTCCTACAAGTGCGTCATGAACTTCCAAGCCCAATACACAAAGTCACCTATAACAATTCCTTCAAATGATATTGGTCCTGGCGATCCAGTTCCCACTGGCTGCCCAAAACGGGCAATCATACCCGTGCAGCAACGGATTCAGCCAGTCACGAGCACGGAATCACACGGGCCAGTGTCGGTAGCTCAGAAAAAGACGATGCCGGTCATATCGTCTGTGACTAGTCTCGCGACAATCGCCAATGGCCAAGTGCAAAGTACGATGCAATTGCAGAATACAGCTCAGCAAAGTATAGGCACCCAAATTCAACCAATCACGATTCAAGGCCCACATCCTGTAAATATAATAACCTACTCTTTTGACAAGTTTATTTAATCTTGTCGCTCATGAGAGTCCAAATGCTTTCAGGTGATTTATAAACAGCAGATTGTTACGAGGCCACCATCGCCGGTCGATATCAGCAACAAAATGACGCAGTGTCGTCCACAGACACACACCAAAGGTGTGTCAGTGCGACCAATTCGCTGTGATCAATCGACGCAGACTGACGCGCCAGAAAAGATTTATATACCGATACCAATACCCATATTTGTGCCTGTACCAGTGCACATGTACCATATGCCATTTCCCGTTCCTACGCCAATTCCAATACCCATACCCGTACCTATTTTCATCCCTACGACGCGAAACAGCATCAAGGGTATTTCCAAGGAGCTTAAGCGGATACAAGAAAAAATACCGGCGGACCCGTATGAAGCTGAATTACTTATGATGGCTGAGATGGTCGCAACTGAGAAAAAGAATGAAAGTGATTCGGATTCTAATAATGATGAGGCCAGGTCAGCTATTAATATTAACTTTTTAAAATATGGTTTTTTCAGTCATAAATTTAATCGTATCACTCTTTTTGTATGTGAAGGGACGATGGGGAGGTAAATGAGACGAACGAGGGTAACGAAGGCACACAAGGAGACTCGTATGGTCCAGAAGAAGTGGATTCGTCAAACGCCTTTGGCGAGGACATGTTGCAAATAGCCCTAAAAATGGCCACTGGAGAGTTGGAAGAGTCAACTGTCGATCTTGATACAGCCCTCACGCCTAGTACGATACAGAGTCCGCCAAAGCCTCAGAACGAGGAAACGAATAACACGGAGAACGATGGTTAGTTTGTTTGTTTGTCGTTATCGCTCGTATGGCAAAAGCAAGCTATTGACCTTTGAATTTTTCTTGTATATTAAAGCAGTTCAACCGATACGAGTTCACTCGAGCCGAGGACGCAAGCGGGGCAGTACGAACAAAACGCGAGGTGTACCTAGCAAGAGAGGCCGGCGACAACACAACGCCAATGATGTTAAACTATCGGCTGGAGCCGCAACACCGGCTAGGATGATCCAGCCTGCTGAAAGGCCTGATGCTAATATGTCTCTGAAGTACACCTATGGTGTAAATGCTTGGAGGCAATGGGTGAGTCTTAAAAGATGACAAATTTGAGAGTTTTCACAATGTATGGGGTAATTTTTACCGATTCTTTTCTAAACTACAGGTCATTACCAAAAATGCGGAATTGGAGAAACAAAGTACACCTACGAGGAAGCTGAAACTCTTTAAGACCGATTTACTGCAGTTAACAGCGGACGAGTTGAATTATGCCTTGTGCTTATTTGTGAAAGAGCTTCGAAAACCAAATGGGGCAGAGTACGAGCCAGACACTATATTCTACTTATGTTTAGGTGCGTTCATTTTTCACATTGTCTGAATGAGGATTTGTTGAAAAATATGTTGAATTATTTACTTACTTATTCTTGTTTTCAGGTATTCAACAATATTTGTTTGAAAATAATAGGATAGATAATATTTTCACAGATGCATATTACGAAAAATTTACTGATTGTCTTAATGAAACTGCCAAAAAGTTTGCTTCCCTTTACGATAATTCATGTAAGTTTTAAAAATGATGTGCGATTATATCGTGATGAACATTTTAAAATAACTTTGCTAATTTATACTTTCTTCAGTCCGTGTGATTACAAGAGTTGAAGAAGAACATTTATGGGAGTGCAAACAGTTGGGAGCACACTCGCCACACGTACTTTTAAATACACTTATGTATTTCAACACTAAACACTTTAACTTAGTGGTAAGAATTTTTGTTGCATCTTGAATGAGTTTTTGATAAGATTGATGGACTAAAAAATTTGTATCTTAGTCCGTTGAAGAACACATGCAGCTTTCATTTTCTCACATAATGAAGCATTGGAAACGAAACTCTACTGGACAATCTGGTGGAGCAGTTGGAGGTAAAGTGGCTGGGTCACGTAATGTGTTATTGCGATTTTATCCCCCTCAATCTGCTCTTGGTGAGTTGATGGGTAAAAGCAAGTTTTATTTACTCAAAGCGAAAAATAATGTTTATTTAATTGTTTTAGAAGCCAATTCAAAGAAGAAAAAAGTTTACGAGCAACAAGAAAATGAAAACAATCCACTGCGGTGTCCAGTAAAATTATATGAATTTTACCTCTCCAAATGGTAAATGATAATTTTGCCTTTTTTATGGATATCCATCATCTCTGTTTAATCAATGCATTTCATTTTTATTTCAGCCCTGAAAGTGTAAAAACGAGAAACGACGTATTTTACTTATTGCCAGAGCGAAGTTGTGTACCCGACAGTCCAGTTTGGTACTCGACATCTCCTTTGGATAAAGAGCATCTTGTTAAAATGCTTTATCGTATCAAGATGGTAAAAGAGATTAATGTGGCTCTTTTGTCGTCTTAATTGTGCCGCCTACCTTGTAAGTTAAAGCTACACGCTTGGCTTCTTCATTAAGCTGTACATCAATTGTGTAAAATATGGAAGCGCTAATTACTTGCTGCAATCCAATAAGAATACAGACTACCTTATGTTTACTTTGTATGTTTGTCATTTAATGAAAGATTCTGTGTATAAATAAGATGTCTCAAACTGCACTAGCACAAATTTTTTTTTGTTATTATTTTGACAAACATTATTGTGAGAAAGTGATTATTATGTGTCCTTAGGTCTTTTTAAATTTATGGTAATTTCTACTCTGTTAAACTATAAGTATTTTGTATTGCTTAGACTTAAATTGTACACAAAGAGAGTATACACTAGTAGTAATATTAAGATGTTTGTGGTAACAAAACAATTAAGATTGAAAAAAAAGTTTTGTTCATGGCGAACTGTTGAGAAACTATCTTTTGTATATATGAGAGTGATGCAAATCGACCTTAAAATTTAGTTTTAACACAGAATCATCCGATTAAACCGCTATGTAATATAAACGTTTCACAAGTCAGGGTTTGTTCACCATCTTGTATTTTTTAATTATACGTAATTTTATTGAAAAAATAACTCATTATTTTTTGACTTGTATAAATTTTTTCATTTATTAAAAATATCAATAACAATAAACTAATATACAAAGGGACATTAATTTGACCAAATTTATCTAACCAGTTTTCTTAGGTTTTACAAACGATCTGCTACGCTTCATCTTGTGACGATGCAATTCCAATTCGTGTAGTTTGGTTTGAATTTCTGAGAAAATTGCTTTTTGTTCTTCTTCAGGTATGGTTTCTCTGTAACATAAAACACAGTAAATGTAAGAGACGTTATTCAGAGTTGGGTCATTTTTTTAATTTTCCTAGAGCTTGTATAAGTACATTTTATAAAACAATCAAGCTACAAAAAAAAAAACAGCTGAGTTAGAATTTAGTTATTAATAGCATTTGTATATGAATATACGAATGAACACATAATCATCTGTCATTGAAACACTTTCATTTATAGTCTACAGGCCAATAAAGTGATCAACAAAAAAATTTGTTTGAAGACTAAGGAAACTTCTTACCTGTACATTTTCATGAGGTCATACTTCTCCCATGGTTTCGTATGAATCTTTAAGCCTGCTTTTATCTTTCTCTTCTCATTAACCAGGTCCATAACACCAACAACACCCTCTAACTGTCTCCTCTCCCATCTTTCGGTCCAGGGTGGAGGTTTCAGAGTAATCTTCATGTCATTTATTCGTATCGGCATACCCTCTGGATGATATTCGGGCTCCATATCAAGGGGAAAAGTACTGTACTCTGGTGGTGCATCTCTTAGATAGAATAGTTCGTCATCCAATCTTTTTTCGAGCCTTATAACTTCAATCTTTTGAATAGTAGGATCATACATCTCAAAAAGGACTTCAACGCCCATTTTGTCGATGACATTCCTCAGTATGAACGAGTGCCTCAAGCCACAACCTTTTCTGAAAATACAAATGCCTAAAAACCTGTTTGTCTTGCCTGGCGCGTGTTTATCCGAATGTGTGACAGATAAAATCGAGCCAACATAGAATTCTGGTATTTCAATATTTGATCTCCTGGCTAGCATATCTTGTCTCTCAAGCTTTTCCCTCAAAAAGTTTCTGTGCAACATGTTGGGGTCAGGCAAAAATTCCGGGTACGCATAGCGATAGTTTAGCAATGTTCTGTCGTCTTGTGTACTAGACACGTTGTTGTCGTTACTGGATTTGGTGTTCTCAAAGGTATCGAGTTCATGCTCTTGCACGGATTCCTCCAGCTTCATCACGTTTTCCGATATGATGGATGACGATGACAAGCAGCGATTTTCATTCACGACTGAAAGAAATATTGTATAATTAACTTGGTCTTCAGTGGCATCAGCGTATTGCTTCTTTTTGTGTGTACAAAAAATGAAATGTTTGGGAATGCAAACATTTTGTTATAGAACTAACGTACTAATAACAAATGTCTCAATTAATAGTTTTTGCAATACTTACTGTTTCGTGCGATGTTTCGTAGTTGCAAATTAATAATTAACCGACCAGTAATCGACATCTTTGCCACTTTTTTACGTTTTGTTTATTATTAAAAAAACTCGGAGCAAAGAAAATATACTGTGAAAACCGACGTGTAGCAGAAGAACTAATTATGATGGATGGGGCGGGTGAGTGGAGGGAGTGTATAATCAGTAATGTTGGATATGGAGAGTCTCCCTCAGACTCTCCGCTGGAGACTAATAATCAATCGGAGCCATTTAGCCGATCTAGCGGACGATTTAAATTATTCGCGAGAAAACTCGTCGATTTTTGGGTAAAAAATAAACTGTAAACTAATAATTAATAAAAACGAAAGTCTATTGAATTAGTTGCGGCTGGTTTATAATTGATTTTATGGCTCTACTATAAACTGTAAGAGAGTACTAATTATTTAGATCAGCGCCATCTAGCGTTGCGGATTTATGAACTAAAAAGTGGCCCTAAACTTTTAAACCATACCTGTAGCGCTTAGAGCCATTTAATCAGTTATAAACCAGCCTCAACTTATGATGAAGCTATAAAATGAAAAAATAACGATACGTGTGTTTTTGGCGGCAAGTTATCAATTTATCTTATGCTCGAAAATTAATCTTTAAAAGTATAAATACATAGGAGGTCAATTTTTTGGTAGAAATAGATTGTTAACTTGCCGCCAAAAACACACGTATCGTTATTTTTTCATTTTATAGCTTCTTCATGAGTTGCGGCTGGTTTATAATTGACTAAGTGGCTCTAATCCTGATTGCTCTGACTCAGAATTTTAGGAGCCACTTTTGACCAAAAAATAATGACCGCTAGATGGCGCTGATCCAAATAATTATTGCTATTTACAGTAAAGTCTTTTTATAAATAATATACCAGCCGCAAATAATTGTATAAATATACAATAAATAGTTAACATTATTTATGCTACTTGCGGCAAGTTTACAATCTATCTTTTATCCAAAAATCGATCTCTAAAAGTACACACATTTTACTCATATCCCTCATATGGTTTAACAAAATTGACCGTATGGCACTACTTAGTAGTGATTACCAAAATTACTACACATAATTTCACGTATATCTTACACCGCCTCTCTTTACCAGAATGATAAATTCGGAGGCTGTATTCCGTAACCAGCAGCCCAGCCCAGCAATTAAGTTACGTAGGTCGTGGTAATAAGTGACAGTAATTTTTATAGTAATTGTAATTAGTACAGGTTGACGCTGCCGCCGCTGCCTGACCATGCGGCGTTACACCACGGCCTATATGTAATTACGTATACATATAACTTAACTGCTGGTACTGGCAGCATTTGCGGAATACAGCCTTAGACCGCCGCATGTGGGGGTGAGATGATTGAAATGTTTGTTAGCTAAGTAAATGAATATTTTAAAAACGTGATACAAAATAACGAACTATATTTGCATGCTCCAGCTCATAAGTGATATCAAACCTATTAGACAAAACATTCTAAGACGTTTATAATGCAGTCCCCACCATTGTTTCATATTTTAAAATTTCTAGCTCCAAAATCACAAAAAAGATGGGTATGTCAACATGATAGTCCTTCAATTTTATTACTTATTTAAGATAACTCGTGTGACATTCTATAACTATGTGTCTTGAACATTTGTTCATGTAGATCAATTTAAAAGCTAAGTTTAAACTTAAAGAGGAAGTTGAACGCTTGGTTGAAAGTGAAAAAATCAAGCCTAGACATCATCCAGGAGTTTTGAAAAGACAAATGATTACATTACCTGACTGGGTTATCGATGCCATGCGTCTAAACTTAGAAGGTAGTGATGTAGTTTTGTTCTTGCGATTTTGTAGCAACAAGTTTTTAATATTTTCGCTTTTATTTTGTTTTTAGATACCGATAAAAAACGGCTTTTTCAAGAGAGTCAACAATTGTCACAGTATTTATTCAATAGGCGTTTGCCAGCTGAAACTCAGGATGTAAAAACAAAATATAATGAAATTGAAGGAAAAATGTTGGAAAAAGTAATAGATACATTGACACCAGAAGAGCTTGAAGAGAAACGTAAAATGATCAAAACAAAAGTGATAAAAAAAGTAAAAAATGAAATATATGATTGGAAAGCCTTGCAATTTACCAAGTATCAAGGTTTGATGTACATGATTTCACGTAGCACAGCTGAATATTCTGTGCTTGTAAAGATTTTTGAAGAAATTAAAAACAGAGATCCAGAATTTGTTCCTCAGGCAATATTCGATTTTGGATCAGGTGTTGGAACTGTCTTATGGTAAATGATTTTTTATTGTTAATTGTAGATAAGTATAATTGTAAAATCAATATTTTTCAACTGTTGTATCTCCAAAGGGCTGCTCTTAATCATTGGCCAAATGGTATAAGAGAATATGTAGGTATAGATATTTCCAACCAAATGCATGATCTTTCAGAAAATATTATGAAGCACTCGCCTACAAAAGTAAGGGGTGTTTTTCTCAGGCAGTACATGCCAGTTACAGAAGTAAGAAACGTGTTTGTATTTTTGGCAAATTTATCAATTAATGTAACATATGTAGTAATGATATTCATTACAGATTGAACATGACATTGTTATAAGTGCTTATTCTCTCATGGAATTACCAAGCATACGAAATCGTTTAGAAATCATAGCTAGATTATGGAAAAAAACGAATAAGTATTTAATTTTTGTTGAACAAGGGTCTCAATCTGGTTTCAAAGAAAGTATAGCTTTTTAGTGATATATCTGAAACTACAAAAAAAGTAATATTTTTTTTTTTTAACAGGTGATGAATGAAGCCAGGAGTTTCATAAAACACATCATGGATAATTTTGAGAAATCTTGCAAATATTTCATCTTTGCACCTGTAAATTCAAAGTTTTATTGTTTTCTTAAAAATCTTCAAAAAAAAAAAAAAAAAAAAAAAACATCAGGTACATGGGATGTTAATTTTTTTTAGTGTCCACATGAAACTACGTGTCCAAGGTATGCTGAAAACAATTATCCTTGTAACTTCATAGTTCAGCATGGAAAGTTGCCTTTAATGGGTTCATCTAGTCCTAAGCAGGAACTTTACACTTACATAGTTTTTAAAAAAGGTTTGCTATCGTTATAATATCATCACAATTACCTGAATATTAATTGTAGAATACTATGATAAATAATATCATTAGGAGAACGCACCGATCAAGATAATTGGCACCGTCTAGTGCGACCAACTATTGTTCGTTCTAAACATGTTCGATGCCGAACATGTTCTCCAAATGGGCAGTTAGAAGAAATTTTATTTACACCAAAAAGACACGGAAAGTAAGAGCATTCATTAAGTCTTGTATAAATCAGTTATGACAAGAAATTATTATTTTAATAATTCGAATCATTGTATTGCAGGTGGTGTTACAGATGTGCTAAAGGAAGTAAATGGGGTGATCGACTTCCAATAGACACAGTTAAAGATGAAAGTAATGAAAATATTAATGCATCCGAAATTGATGAAAATGAGTCAGAAACAGACTCCGACACAGAATGTGTAGATGAAACAGATTACGGAGAAAACGATAAATTAGATGGTGAAGGTTCATCTCAAAGTAAAAACTTTGAAGAGAAAGAATTTGAAAGTCAAACAAAATCTTCAAATGATAGTAAGGAAGTAATCGTTTCTGAAGCTCCACATTTTATCAACAAAAATAAGAAGTTTTAAAAATATGTAAATAAATAATATTGTTGTAAATATCAATAAGTGTATGAATTTTTTACGCATTATAGAAATATTAAAAAATAAAATGATAAAAAGTTTATTTAAATAATTCGTTATATATATTTATGCATACTTTTTCAAAATTTTCACAAGGTCAATAATAGATTTATATCTACTTAATAATCATTTCTTGAATTTCTTCTTCACACACGTACAACCATTTTCGCGAATGGCTCCAGTCTCTTTTAGATAGTTGATAATACATTTCTTTCTGTCAAAATATAACAAACATCTATAAGTTCTATGATTGAGTTAAACATAAAAACTGGTGAAATCGAAAATAAAATTCTTTAATCGCAGGAAATATTGTAATAATCTAATCGAACGGTCTTTTTACATATTTGCTGATTTCAAGTAAAAGTTCATGTTTTACACAAAACTCATAATTACTTCAACAACATGGATATTGATATCTTTTTTCGCTATATCTACTTGCAAACTAATATAATTTGATCATTATAATTAGGTTTTGTCCAACTGTTACTCCTAATGGGGTTTTGTCATCCTCAATATTTACAACACAAAAATATATTATCATCAATGTTACAAAAGAAAAACAATTTATATATTACGCTCTTGTTACTTGATAAATTGTATTCTCTTTTTCTTGTTTTAACGCAAACACTATTAACTTTATTTAAAGCCTTGCGACTAAAATGGCGTTGAATTGGTGTTATTCGTTTATGTTTGTGTTAGGTATGTTCATTTTGGAAGATGCTAAAAGGGTGAGTGTGTGCCCACCCTTCATTTTACTTTTTTAATGGACGAAGTCTACAATGATTTTTATCACAACAATGTTCAACAATTTTCTATTGTAATATACATCTGGTATATTTAATATTAACTTATTAAGTCATGATCTAGTAGCAACTGCGAGCAATAAGAAAAGTAATAGAAAAATAATTACAGTATATTATAAGCGCAAGCGTTCCACAATAAACTACCTAGGAAAAATTTTACATAGATTGATGCTATGCAATTATACAGAAGGCGATCATGCACATTTATCGATACAATTATAAAAAAAATTGTTTTAGTCATCACTAGTTCAAATGAAATGTATTTTACTTTATTACAGATTAAATGAATACTTAAAATTGTAAAATTGAAAAAAGGACAAATTTTCATTTTTCAGCCATTTAAATAACAATTAAAAAATTCATTATAAGGACTAATGAGAAATATAAAATGTTTAGCACAACCTTTAGTTGAAAACTGCTAAAATAATGTCAAAATAAAATATTTTTGGCACGTTTTGGCTGCTAATTCGAATGGTTCTATAGCAGTGAATAATTACTTGTAAAAGTTCATGTAAACTGCATCATTTGAATCTCGCTAGAGTGAATCATGGATTTGACTTCTCAACCATTATGGTTTCTTCAAGTAAAAAAAAGCATTAAATATTTATATACAATTTTTTCCAGGCTTATAAAAAAAAAAAAAAAAAGAGAAACATAGTGTATAATCAGAAAGCGAAAAAGATCACAAAAAAATGAGATATTTTCTTTCAAAAATATCAATCTTTAATGGACAACATGGTGCGTGATGAGTGACATAATCCAATAAAACTATTGTCATGGCACTCATCCTTGCTTTTTAATTTTCACTTAATGGCACGCACTTGTTCTGAGTCTTTTCCTTGGCCTTGTTCAACTCTTCAAGGTCTTCGTCTTCTTGATCTTCCTGCTCTGTTTCTATGTCGTCTTCTTCATCGTCCTTTTCTTTTTCTTCAGCATCTTCGTCCTCGTCGTCTTCCTCCTGAAGCTTTTTGCGCGCTAACTGTACAGCTTCCCACTCTCTGTAATGACCTTTTCTTTTTGCTTCAAAAACTTTTCTCCTTTCTAAAAGTTAAAATAATGTTTATTTAATGAAATCGGTATTTCTACTATGACACACTTAGGATATAATTGAAAATATGCAATGCAACTAAAAATAAAGCTTGTTTTTATTCACCTTTTTCTTCTGGAGTCTCTTCATCTTCTTCTTCACTTGATTCTTCAAATATTTTTGGTTTAACGTTTTTTGCCAATCTTAAACAATTAAAAAATTACTACATTATTTTGTTTGTAAAAAAACTGATACTCCTTTATCTAACACTGACTTTTATCCATCGAGTTTTACGTGTATAACTATAGTTATTGCTCAAGAATTTAATTACTAAATCAATGAAACAAAATGAACCTTCTATTTCTAATGCAATTAGGTTTAATTAAATTTAATTGTTAATTATACTGTAAACTTACTTTGACGCTACAGCACAAGAGTCTAAACTATCTTCATTTACAACACCAGCAAAGTTATATGGAGTCTTGGGTTCTTCAATTTTCATGTGACCATAATCTTTGTCTGCTGGGTGTAACGTTGCTATAATGTTCATTTCATCCCATTTTGTTTCTTTTTGCGCTCTACTGTAAAATTATACAGATTTATTGCGCAAACAAACGTATTCATATTTGTTATATTTGAAACTTATCTGTTAATCTAATAAAAGTAGTTTGTTGCTACAGAAGAAAAGTACACAAAATTATAAAAAAAAAAAATGTCACGCATTGTCATATGAAATGAATAGTTGCTATTTATAAACTTTACAATTGTAAGCTGCCGTTATATGACAAGGCATTGTATTCTAAGAATGTACACACATGTGTTCTGCAATTGTACATTATCTCCTTAGAAACTGATGTGGAATGTATATCAATGATCATTTGGATACAAAAAAATTACGCATTTATGATAAAATAAGTAATTGAAAAGAGAATTAGTAAGTTTATTCAAGAAATAAGCATACCTCGGGGCCTCCTGATTATCAAAACTACTGGATGTTTTAAGGATACCCTTGGAGGGTCGCTTGCCCAGATTCTCAGCCATATCTGTTATTCGCAAACAACTGTCAAATCTCTACTTGGACAACAATGTATATACTTAACAATAACAATACGTGTAAATGTCAAGCAGAGTCTTGATTAAAAAAAAGTTAAGATAAACTTTTACTGTAAACGTAAACTGTCCCAAGGAAGGGCCGATAATTTCGTACCTGTTACATTCCACACACGCACTATTATATTTTACGCCTCATTTACTTGTCTGAACACAGCAGTCATTTTAATTTTTTTTCCCTTTTGTTATTTATTTTTTTGTCTAATGAGTAATATTCAACTTTCACTATTGACACTTGGGATTTTCCAATAATTTTCCTAACGTTCAAAGCAATGTAGCGGAGGTGTGAAGTTGTGAAGTGAAGTGATTTGGAGGGCGGACGGGGGTTATCTATCGCACACTCGCGCATTCGCAAATCGCATGCGTGTTTTTGTTATTGCATGTGCGAGGCTTTTCGGGAACGAAGTATAAAAATATAAATAATGAACTTAATCAATTAATGAATACGGATTTAGGGATAATTGGGGGGAAAACAAAGGATATTTATATATTTTATATATATTTTTGAGGCAAATCAGAGTGACGTGACAATCTTGACGATAGATGATAATAAAAGATGCAACTTAGTCGATAATATATTATAATAGGTAATGTAGGTAGTACTCATGACTACTGCTTTGACTGTTTATTTTTATTGAAAATTAAATGAAGTTGAGAAAAAAGGCATTAAAATGAATGGTATATACTGATCTAGCAATGTTTTTTCGAACTAAATATAGCAGTTACAAAAATATAATCATAATTTACTGGACCGATCGACAGTCATGTGGTTTTTTTGAATTATCAACTGAGAAAAGTCTCGCGTCTCGGCTGATAACTTACTTAATGACTGTCAACAGTGTCAACGTCATGTTATAAAGTACATATATAGTCACTACTTTTCAGATGTCTAATTGAGTTGTTTTTATTTTGCCTAAGGATCCATGTGTTTAAGTTTTAGGCGTTACTTTTAACTTTTTATAAACATTCCCTTAAGCTGTAGGAATAAATCGTTCAATATGACGACTCTTCGGGAAATGCAGATAGGTAAATTTATTTGTTGCATCAGCTTTGTTATGCTGTTTTGTTTTCGTCTGCAAATATTTATGTTAAAAGTTGCTTAATTATTTATTTATCTTTAACTTGTAAGGTGCTATCATTTGGTCTTTTTTTGTTAAAACAAAAATTTAGCTGAATTTTTATGTTATGTCTACAGTTATTTTGGAAGAAAATCTAGTGTTAAAAGTTTTTATTGGAATGTACGACTTATTAATTTTTTGGTTCCAGTTTGAAAAATTAAACTTTATTTTATACAAGATTAAATAAATTTATACAGCATTTAAAAATATAAAAAAATCCATTTTACTTGTGTCTTCTTTTAGCTGCTTTAAAACAGATGTTAAATCTTAATGAACCTGAGCCTAGGCCTGAAGGTATGGTACCAGTTTTCAAACTTTTAATCTATGACAGAATAGGTCAGGATATCATTTCTCCGTTAATTTCAACTAAAGAACTGAGAGAAGAAGGAGTCACTCTTTACATGTGAGTACGAATTGAATGGGATGAAAATTAAATTGGCATGGTTTTAACTGACGATATTGATATTTTACAGGCAATTGCACACTGACAGAGAGCCTATTCCTGAGGTACCAGCTGTTTATTTTTGTGAACCAACTGATGAAAACATCGGACGTATTGGTCAAGATTTACAAAATAAATTGTACGATATTTATCATTTTAATTTTATATCTCCCCTGCCAAGAAGCAACATGGAAGATTTGGCTCAAGCTGCTATAATGGCCAACGCTGTATCAAGTATTCATAAGGTACTGTTATTTAGACAGTCTTTCATTGCTCTTTATATCTTACCTTTGGTTTATTTTTTTTCCATTTAACCATCACAAAGTTATATTACAGCTCTATGACCAGTATCTTAATTTCATCACATTAGAAGATGATCTTTTTATAATAAGACATCAGAACAGTGATATTATTTCCTATCATGGTAAGTTTTTTAAAACATACAGATTGTACAACTTGAAAAAAAAATGCATTTAAGTTTTAACTTTTCTATAGCCTTGAATAGAGGTGAAATAAAGGATACAGAAATGGACCAAATCATTAACGTAATAGTTGAAAGTTTGTTCTCGATATTTGTCACGTTAGGAACAGTACCCATAATCAGGTGTCCTAAAGGTAATGCTGCAGAGATGGTTGCAAAAAAGCTTGACAAAAAGCTTCGAGAAAACGTTTGGGATGCCAGGAACACGTTGTTCCAAGGCGAAGGACTTAGATCCAATCATTTTAGGTATACAAGAGAAAGTATTATTAACAATGTATGTATTATTGAGTTTAAAAATTTTTTAAATTTTATTTTTAACAGTTTTCAGAGGCCTTTATTGATTGTACTCGATCGTAGCGTCGACATGGCTACGGCGCTGCACCACACATGGACGTATCAAGCACTAGCACATGACGTCCTAGAGCTTTCATTGAACAGACTAGTCGTGGAAGAAAGTGCAGGCAAATCAGCAGCTGGTGGCGCGCGTTCCAAGACTCGTGCCTGTGAACTCGACGCTACGGATAAATTCTGGTTGAACCATAAAGGTAGCCCGTTCCCCAGAGTCGCTGAAGCTATTCAGGAAGAGCTTGAGCAGTATCGCACCTTTGAGCAAGAGGTCAAGAAGCTGAAGACAACAATGGTATGTATTCATCAGATGTTTTAATCGAATAGAAAAAAAAAAGGTTTTTTTGATTGATAATTTTTTTCTTCTAGGGTATTGATAACGACAGTGACGAGGCGGTATCAATGGTATCCGATAATACAGCAAAATTGACAAGTGCAGTGAATTCTCTGCCACAGCTGTTGGAGATGAAGCGGCTGATCGACATGCACACGACGATAGCAACGGGTATTTTGAATGCCATTAAAAATCGAAGATTGGATACATTTTTTGAAATCGAGGAAAAGATAATGAGCATGCAGACGCTGGACAGGAGTATTCTTGACGTAATAAACGATCCCGAATGTGGTATGCCAGAGGACAAGCTGCGTCTTTTTATTATTTATTATCTGTGCACGAATCTGTCAGATGCTGAGTACAACAAACACGAGGCAGCGCTGTCGAACATCGGCTGCGATTTGAGTCCTTTGATATATCTTAAGAAATGGAGGTACGTATTAGGTAGCCTTTGAAATGCATAATTTGCGTTTCCAGCTAATATATTTAATTTTATGTTTTATTGGCAGGAATTACATGAAAATGGTGGGTGTTTCCAACAATTACGAAGGTGGTGGAACGAAAACTGTTAGTATGTTTTCCAAACTAATGAATCAGGGTTCTTCTTTTGTTATGGAGGGTGTAAAAAATCTGGTTGTTAAAAGACACGTAAGTTAAAATCAATTATAACCTCGCATCATACGTATTTGTTCGTATTATTATGATTTTCATCTCTTAGAATCTGCCTGTTACAAAAATAGTTGACGAACTGATAGATATGAAACAATCTGCCCAAACTGAAGACTACTGTTATTTAGATCCAAAACAGTTGAAATTTTCAGATCAAGTTCCAAAGAACAAAACAGTATTTCAAGATGCTATAGTTTTTATTGTTGGAGGTGGTAACTACATAGAGTATCAAAATCTAATGGATTATGTAAAGGTAAGCATTTGATTGAATTGTCAGAAATCCATGTAAAAATGAAATTCATACAGTAAGAATTACTTTTATTAAGCTAAGAAAATACAGTTTTAAACTATGATGGTCTCCTAATTTTATTTTCAAAGGAAATTCAGTTTCTCATTGTATATTTTCAGCAAAAGAGTGGAGGTGGGACTAGCAAACGCGTAATATATGGTTCAACGATGCTAATGAACGCCAGACAATTTCTCAAACAGTTGTCTCTGTTGGGACAGGAACCTAATTAATTTTTTTAAACAAATTTATATAAATTGCAATCTAAAAATTCTTTGTAATGCTGTTGGATATAAAATTTTGTTGCGATTTTTTCGGTATGTACGGAGTAAAAATAACGAGGTAGGATTTCTGCTTTATAATTAAACGAAATAATTATATATTAATTAAGTAATAAATGTTTACATTGTAAATAATGATATTAACAAGATGATCATTCTTCCGCTACTTCTTTTGGTTGCGCTATCTCACGACCCAACATGTCCACTTTTTGGTGTTGGCTGCAACCTTCGCCATCATCAGAATCTGAATCACTACTGCTGTCACTATCACTTGAATTTTCATAAGAACCTAATCCTGGAAGTATTCCTATGCACTTGAGAGCACCAATATTCAAATTTGAATTGTTAACATGTACTTCAACGACTTTGTTGGTTTTCGTTTGTTTTTCTGAAGAGGCCTCTGATTGTTTCTCTGGACTAGAACTTTCAGTTTCTGACAGTTTCCTTTTCACGCCTTGTGATACTATTTTAAGAGCCAAGATAAAGATTTGTTATTGGAAAAAAAAAACTATTGTTAAAAAATTAAATAGAAACGTACCGTTATCATTTTTGGCCGACTTTTTAACGACACCTGCCAGTAGTCTGAGTTGTGAATTTTTATTGCTAAAATTAATCATTATAAATTAAAAATCATTTATCTTGAAAATGAAGCACCCAATTGTTGTAAATTACCTGCTAGTAGATTTATTACTGCTTTGCGGTTGTTTCAACTCTTGCTTTAACCTTTTATCCAAAGATTTTTCTTGCAGGGATGCTACAGCTGCTTTAAAATCCCTCATTTCTTTTTCGTCTTCCATATTTTTCTTTTTTTCCTCAGCCATCTTTGTCCTATCTATCAAATCAAGAAACTCTACTTCATCATCGTCAAGTCCCTTTATCATATTCTCTGAAACACAAACAATTGCACATGACAGTAATATTAGTATTTACTTACATCATGTCATTGGATCACTAATAACTATTGGTTGTAAGTGTGTACAAATGATTGATGGCACAAGTATATCAATACAACAACATGAACTTTTTGATAAGTAAAAGTGACTAATTTCTAGAAATTTCTGTCAACATAATGTACATAATAATATCCTAGAATGAGCAGTTCTCAAGTAGAGTCCAAAATCAAAACAACTCACTGAGCTTGTGTGCCTCTTCGTAATCGGCATCTCGTTTGTTTTTCTGTTCCTGTAGCTTGTCATATAAACACCTAGGATCATAAGGCTCCTCTGGAACCTCTGTAAAAATTAATGAAAATTATGTAGGACAGGCCCAATATAAACATTAGGCAAGAACATCAAAAATAAATAATGGACACTGCCAAGTTTTCAGCCTAACCTAAAGGCTGATTAGGTGTTCGAACTCGTTCCCATTCCTCTTGGCGTATTTTTCTCTGCTCCAAGATTTCACTTTCCGATACAAATTTCGAACTCATTTGTTCAACTTTTACGGCGTTTTAAATCTTTTGGTATTAAAATAATCTACGGCTCATGAGAGAGAGGAGAGACAAAAACACTAAGCCCAGGATGCTTATACAATTCTGTGTGACGTTTCACCTTTGCCGAGAGAACTTATTGTTTTTTAACGCGTTATTAAATATTTTACATAAGATCACAGGCTTTTCGATACAAACAAGGTGTAACTTATTGAGTACACGTTTTTTCTTTCAAACAGGATTTTTTTTTTCTTTATTTACACAATTTTTTTGTATCTTCCTCAGATCTGTTTTACCATAAGCATGCACTAGAGGACTCTACCTTACCGTTCGAGCAGCGGGAATTTTTGATTCCTCAAAATTCGCGAATTAAAAAAAATAACACATTGACGTAAAAAATCCATCAAACGCATGAATTTTATTAGAAAATTTTTCATTACTTTATTGATAAGACATAAAAATCACTCGTCAATTACAAAATTTATCTTACAAAATAAAGTAACCTTATTTTATAAATCATGGATAAAACAAATTTTACACTAAATGGGGTCCATGGTAGGACCCATCTCTTATTATTCGATCTCAACGCAACGGCACTTGTTTTTTCAACACATGTTGATACATATTTATATGTTTGAAAGCTTTGTACATTCATTGAAAACTCCTCTATCAAAACGAGTTTTTTTTGTTGTTGCTTTTTCTCTTCGCACAATCCGATATGCGGTATGACGAAAGAAACCGCTATTGGTTCGCATCGTCCGGATGAAGAGAAAAAAAGACATTCCACCCAAAAAATCTAAAAAACACCAAGACAACGTCCATGCAAACTCACAGAACGCATATTATATAGTCGAAGGAATCGGCTCCCCCCCCCTCCCCCGCAATATCACCAAATGACGCACTTGTTCTCCGGATTCATCCTCGACCCCAGCCTGCAGCCAAAGTCGTCGGAGAACTCTTTGATGTTGGAAAACGACAGGGTGACCCTCGCTGACTCGGGACTGTGAGGATCCGTCGACAGGATGTCCCGCAAGTAAGCGGGTCGTTCCTTGGTGCACCAATTGCTCGCCGCGCTCATCCAGAACAATTGCTTCTGCGAGTAGTACAGGTACGGCAGACACGGCTCCGTCACGTTTTTGCTCCACTCGTTGTACGCGTAGTAGGCCATTTTGAAACCAGCGTTGTCGGCTATGTTCTCACCCTGCGTCCTGGCCCCGTTCACCTGAGGATTACATGTACAGGTACAATATAATTATGTTCATCGGGGGGAAGTAAATAACAAGTCCCTCGTTGTAGGTATACCGTCCACTCACATTGAGCCCGACTTCTTTGACGGTGAAATTGTTGTACTGGTCGATGATGCAACGCGCCTTGCGGTAAAAGTGCTCCTCCGTGCTGGTTTGCCACCAATTGTTTTGGTTTCCGCGTTTGTCGTGTTTTCGGCCCTGATTGTCGAAACCGTGGGTTATCTCGTGGCCGATTATACTACCGATCGAGCCGTAATTCAAGTAGTTCGGCATGTCGGGCTTGAAAAACGAGTGCAGGAAGCCGGCCGGTATTTCTGCGCATGCGCCCAAAACAACGCTTACAATCATCCGTATAACATGAATAAAATATTATAAAATAAGCACGTCATCGTACCGACCTATGATGTTTTTCTGGGGTATGTAATAAGCGTTGATGACCGCCGCGTTGTGGCTGAGGGTCCAGAGGTTCTTGTCCACGGGTTTTCGCAGAACCTTGTAATTTTGCTTGACCAGGAACGAACTGACGTTGAACGCGGCCTTCAGATAATTACCCCGCGTTATCACCAGCTCCTTGTAATAATCGTCGACTTTTCGATCGTCCATCAACTCGTCGGCGAAACCTACCGATATACCCATGGATTCCAGCTTTTCCAGCGCCGCTTTCCGCGTCTCGTCGTCCATCCAGTCGACCTGTACGTGCCCAAACACACTTGATTAATTATTTCACAACATCAGGGACGACACTACGCCGTCGTAGGTATAGGTTATACGTATACGTGCCTCTTTCAGTCTCTTTTTACTCTGATCCTTGATATTTTTCACGAGCTCGAGGACGCTGTCCTTCATGTCTTTGTTGAAGTACTTTCTGACGTACATGGCGCTTACGCTTATGGGGAAGGCCTCCATGATCTCGTTCAAGCACCAGGACTCGCGATTCATCGACTGTTTGGTACCTTCGACGACGTTGTTGAAGTCCAAGACGGCCTGCCGGAGCCTCTCGGGCATGTACATGAGCGTGACGTGGGTCAGGTAGAAGGCCAAGTAATTCGCCACTACCCTTTTCGGGGTGGCTTTAAGTAGGTACTCCAGTTTGGGGATGTAGTCAAGATCGGCGACGAATATCGTTTCCGTGTCGTTGACGAACACGCCGCTCGGGTTGAACATTTTGTTCAGGAGGTTCAGCCAAGGGATGCTCGGGTACTTGCGGGACAGGTCTCGGATCGACATTTGGTTGTCCACCTCCGTTACGTTCACCATCTCCTCGGCCGGTGTTTTTATCTATTGTGTTTTTTTTTTTTTTTTTATGAGGATTATACTTGGGATACGATGATTTTCCGAGCACCATGGCTCCAATTGTCAAAAATTATGTTCCAGCACAATATAATATATTTTTAGAAACAAGGTTTCTAGGTACGCTGTCCAAGTAAACGTTTATTTGAAGACAAACAAAGATATATTTATTTGAATCCATTAAATATGACGTTATAAGGAAATCATTTATTCGATTTCAATCAACATATACCATTAGATTTGAATAAATGTTTGTTTTATTCAAATAAACGTTCATTTGGACAAATGTTTTTTTTTTTTTTTTTTTCAATGCATACCGAAAATGTTGGAGCGGTACATGTAATTTTTGCACTTTTTTTTGCGCTGTAAAAGAGTATTTGAAAAAAACAGTGGCGCCCAAGTCTGCTTACGATCAACTCACGTTAAAGAGCTCGATTTCGAAGTCGAGTACGGCTTTCATGTCCCGGTGGGCCGTCTCGTTATCCGCCCCAAGCGACACCGTGACGTTCATCATGTAGTCAAAGTACGCCTTCAAAAGCTTCTTGTCCGGATCGTCCAGCATAAACATCGGACTGATGGTAGTGACGGCGTTTTGTACCTACACGTGAAACGAGACTTTGTAACTACATATTATAATATAGGGTATACAGTATACACCTTACCTTTATCATGTACTTGGATGAATTTTTGAAGTCGATCTCGATGGTCGCAACGATGGGGAAAAAAATGAAAAACTCCTCCTCTCTTATTCTGTACACCGTGTCCCTCCAGTCGTAACTACTCTCGTTCCACTGGTCTCCCATCAGTACGGGCCAACCGCCGATTTTGTCCAATATTTCCATGACCGGCCTCACACCCTCCTTCTCGACCCTAACTGCAAGTATTATAATTTTTTGCTCTTACATTTTTCATTCCAAATGTTTATCAGTGATCAACAATTAAAGTCCACTGTTTCAAAATGTTACAGGCATACAACTAACAGAAAAAAAAAACAAAAACAAAAATTGGCTGCGGGAGTTTGTACCGAAGCAGTGAGCTTTACCCACAAAAATGTGAATAGACCCTCTGTTTCAATGTGTTGCTCATACTTTAAGCCATTAAAAATCAAGAGAGAGCTTTTGCATGTATATACGCGTGTTTTACTGACGAGCATCAGGAAACTCACATCGATCCATGCAGCTTCTGTAATAATTCTTGGTTTTCTTGAACGCCTCGAGGTCGGTGTATCTGATCGGCGCCGCGATATCCGTGTAAATTTCATTAGACAGCGTCATCTGCGCCAGGGAAAACGGATTGACGACCACGGCCTCGTCTATGATGTTTTTTTGCCGTATGAAGCCTCCGCAGACAAACTGATAAAAATCGTCGCAAGGATCCACTTCCGTGTTCATGATGTCCAGGAAATGCTGAGCTGTTGGAAAATTCGGTTAAATCGTTATGCATGGTTTTTTTTCTTAACATACCGGAGAGACGGTAATTTTTACCGCGCAACTACGCTGTATTCCTGTGTTTGCAAAATCACTGTAGTTTCGTGGTAAAAATCACCGTTTTTTTCCCCCCCCGTGTACGTTTTGATGCATAGGTACATGAATAGCCACTACTAAAAGTCGAATGAAGAAAGTTAACAACCTTTGACGAAACAATTTTCGGTGATACAAACTTTTTCACACGATTCGGCAAATTTGGATGGGGTGCGCCCTGCAAAAAACAAAAAAAAAAAATGAATAAATAAAACAGACGTTCGATTGAGCGAAATCAAGTTATTTTTACAACACTGCAACAAACTTACGTGGGCTGTAAAGCGAAGCTGCTGCCGCGGTACGGATTTGGATGTTTATTGCTACACCAGTTAGGAGTAACAACGTTCCGGCGCCCCATTTTTTTCTTTAATGACAAAAATACATGTGCGGTATCTGCTAAATCAACGTGTTGATTGCATTGAGATACATAATTCGGTAAAAAAAAAAAAAAAAAAAAAACATAATATTTTAGTTTGTATTGCACATAAGTAGATTTTTTCTTCTACTCACCTGGATTCCATGTCGTGTGCTCGATTACAAATCTGTGGAAAAAAAATCGTTTCGATTCAGGGCAATCGCATTGGAAACCTAGAACGAAAAGGAAAAAAACATCACCCCATTAGTCCCTGAATTTTTTTTTGTTTCCGACTATTTTTCCGCAGCGCAAATGTAAAAAGATTATTGCAAAAAAAAAAGAAAAAAGAACAACACTAGCACAGGACGAAAAAATAAAAATCAACAGCGGCGGCAATAGCGTGACAATCGCGAATATAACGCCCGTACCTTGTGTGGAGGCAGTGGTGCTTTAAAAACTGTAAGCACATCAGCGACAACGGCATGTAACCGACTGCTGCGAGGGTCTTCGGTCCTCGATCCAACGTTACGAGGCAGAAAAATAATTAACAACAATTACGCGCTCGCGCACGCGGCCTATGCCAGGCAGGGGAATTCTCAATCGGGAATTTAAAGCGCTCCTCGAAATCGAACTTTGGACGGGGAGGGAGAAAAAAAAAGTGTTCATTGGCTCATTTTTTTTTTTTTTTTTTTTTAATTTTTGCAAATTTTTTCTACTCGCAAGCTCTAAAAATAAACTATTCTCGCTCTTTACGACCAAACATATTTTTTATTTTCCATAGTGATGAAAAAACAAAACAAAAAAAAAATTTATTTTTTTTCCCTCCTCTTCATTGATGTCTTGGAAATAATGTAATAACGAGGCTTATCAAACTCTATACACACGTATAGCGGCTCATCGGCTCCTTTGTTGAGGAAAGAGTTGTATTACATATATAGCGTATCGTTTTCGCGCTTGTTACTCGAATAAGCCTATAAGTATATACTTATATACGTATACCAAAATGCAAACAGCGCGACTGAATCGTTTTTTAACGTTTCGAGATTAATTTATTCATTTATTCGACGTGTGATCTTGTATAGCAGAGCGTTAGGGTACGTGTGTATATATATCTAGTATATGTGTATGCACATTACAAAAGCGGCGCGACATATAGCCATTTGATTTAAAGCTTTTTGACTCATCGAGCAAGAATTTCCGCGCGGCCAATTTCGTTCGTTGGGATTTGTCGTTCCTTTTTTTTAAAATATCGTACAGCTCATTTACTCGTAACGAACAACAGTGAAAAATATATCCGATTTTAATGGAGACGAGAACTAACTGGTTTGAAATATTTTTAGAAGCCATAAATCGGCAATGTACATGATGTCGAATTATTTTAATAACGAGAAAAATAACAAAATTGACTCGAAGGTTTTAAAAGTTGGTTGAAAAAAAAAAAAAAAAAAAAAACAATACAAAAAAAAACTTACTTTGGACCTTGGCAGCAACACTGTCAAATTAGAAATCTTGTAGGTGTACCTACGGACTGACTCGACTCGGACCTTTTTGTGCGGAACGACTTACTTTCTCGGTTACAATTTCCAAACTGAAAAGCCACGTCCTTGAGATACGGGTAGCGGAAATTCCTCCGAGGATTTATTTGGGCTGTGAGTTATGGGCGTGGAGCTGCAGCGCGTCCGGCGAAGCTTATCTTAATTCCTTAAGTTTCAGAATGAGGCCCTTGAGATGGTGCAGATAAGTGCCTGTGTTCAAAAGAAATGCGTCGCCTGTGATTTTAATAATACATGTGTCTCTGTACGGATGTCGGCAGACAGGTTTGTTATTTTATATATTGTTGAGACGTTTGAATTGTTGTAGTTTTATTGAGTGGTAAAAGTAACATAAATAACATACTATTAAAAATAAAGTTAATAAAGATGATTCAACTCCGTGTAAGGAAAAAAAATTATTTATAATAA